ACTCACTCACTCACCCCAGGTAAGAAATGAGGAAATTCCTGTTGGATACTACAAACATGAACTTATCTTGCAGCACTGAACCATTGAATTGTTAGTTTCATTTTCTGAAATCTTGTATTTAATTGACAATTATTTTCCTTGATCTTTTGGGGCAGTGGGTTAGCCAAGTTGTTAAAGTGTTTGTTTGTCAATGGGAAGACCTGGTTTCGATTCCCCTACATAGGTACAATGTGTGAAGCCCAATATTCCAGCAATATCATGGCAGGGGACACCAGAAATGGGCTTCACACATTGTATCCATGTGGGTAATCGAACCCGGGTTTTCAGCGTGACGAGCAGCCACTTTAACCATCAGGCTACACCACCACCCCACTTCAATAGACTATATCTTTAAATGTAAATCTTTAAAGGTAATATCACATTTTGTCACCATCAGGAACCAATATCGTCAGATGATACCTTCCCAAAATCTGAAATTGTGACCAAGAATTGCCCGGACAATTTAACTTCCCTAATTTGATTTTTTAATGCTTTAAATATAAAAAGCTCATTACAGACAGAAGCCCAATCGATCAGCATCAATATTGAAAATGTTAAACAGTGATGGAATGGAGACACAATCATTTTCTCAAACGTGCGTCTAAGTAAATGAGCCTGTAAAGATCTTATAAGAAATAAATAAAGTTAAGGTTTTGTTTGCCATATTGATTTGAAAGTGTGGACGGTACGTGTCCGTGGTGCCATGACATTTCGGAATACAGAACTTCTCCAAAACTGCCTCTAGAAACATGTTAATGCCTTTAGGAGATCTCTCCTCGATTGGGAATTTGAAAATACACTTTCAGAATTGTGTCTTCAAACAGCTTTAAACATTTATCAATATTACTTGTGACATCAATTGCATTTTCAGGAGATAAAGGTTATCTCCCTTTCCCACACATCAGGCAGGGTTGTTCTGGAACAAAATGTTTATTACACGCCAACGAATACAAGACTTTAGATGATTGACGGAATTGGGTGTAATTATTCCAGTGCTGTTAGCTTTTATAAAAACACATTCATGCCATGAGCTGGTGTTATAATTAAAGAGTTTTATTAGAGACTTTGGTTCGCAAAAAAGTATGTCTTTAGATGTTAGCTAGGGAAAATACAGAGTGTGACATTATCCCATTTCTTTAAAGGTTGTAGTGAGCTGTGATGTGATGTTTGCTTTTATAAAATTGTTAGGAAGGTAGTTTATTGTGCAGCTTGTGTGCCTCCAATCAATAAGTGAGGAGAGAAACTACATTAAGATGGCCGTTTTGGGAAGCGATTAATAAAAGCTGGTACCGTTTTGATGTTTGCTTTGATTGATCAATGTTGGCAAATGAAATCAATATTACGGATCTTTGACAGCTAGAAAAAGAACATTTATTTTGCATTAGACAACACCCAGGACAGTGGTATGAATACGGTGCAATTTATGAGTTTGGTGGAGCAATATGTTGGCATAACAGCCATTACGGAACTTTCAAGATTTCAATATTTAATCTTTTACTCGTACACCAGTTGATTTGATTGTAGCAGGATTTACATTGCAATTTGTGCAAAATGTGAAGGAATAAACATCTCATCTGTCACCTGCAAAAAAGTTGTAAATTTAAAATTGATTACATCTGCTTCTACTGAACTGTCATTGAAGTCCTCTCGACTTCTATTCAGCGAACGCTTTTAGCGATTTTATGTCTCCACTGCCTTGAAACACGAGGGATGGTACTTGTTTCTCTCCAAGGTGATGAGAGCCGAGGGGGAAACAAACACAATGGTTGATGCTGCCCGGTTTCAAGATGCAGGATCAATTAATCCCCTTCTGTGAAGCTGTATGTATCCTCGTTGTCGCTCATCTTCCCCTTCTCCAGTGAGTGTCTTAGTGCCGAGACTTTAGAAGGCTGTGGCCTCTGAAAGTCATTCTGTCAACTGATACAGGATTAATTCAATTGAAATGAAGTGTAATGCATTGTGGGTATTTGGTGATGGTGGCATTGTCCAAGATATGTCAGATGTCATTGAATTAAAAATGTCAAATTGAAGTGAAGACGACTTATTGTCTGGGTCTTGTGATACTGAACAAATTTGAAGACATAATTCTATTTAAAATTAACCAGGGAAGTGAATTAAGTTTGTTAATATTGGCAATTACAAAACAAAGTTCTCAAATTATTCATTTAAGTGTAATTTGCATTTATTAAAGTCTGAATGGAGAATACAGAATGTATCTGTTTTGGATGACGTTGAACCAACTGTGGTCAGTGATCTTCCCACCTTGAGGAAGAGACTGACTGACTGAGTTTGGTTTTACGCCGCTTTTAGCAATATTCCAGCAACATCACGGCGGGGGAACACCAGAAATGGGCTTCACACATTGTACCCATGTGGGGATTCGAACCCGGGTCTTCGGCGTGACGAGCCAACGCTTTAACCACTAGGCTACCCCACCGCCCCTTGAGGAAGAGAAGACGAGATCAGTGTTTTGAGTGGGGAGAAGCAATCACATCTCACACTCACAGATTAGTTTCAACTTTATGACTAGTTTCAACAGCTGGTAATGAAACAGAATTTAAGACAGACTTAAAGTAAGTACTAGTACATTCATTATGTTATTTTGAGGGACTGGTAGTTTATTAGGCGGGAAGATTGGGTGATATTAAGAGGGGTCATGAAATATGAATGAGTGAGTAAATATTGCTTCAGCAGCAGCAATTTTGCAACTATTCGGAGTGATCATGAAAAATGACACAGCAACTGAGGCGATCCATAAAATATCCCGGGTGGGTGGGGATTGTGCCAGTAAAATATTTATGTAAAATCTGTAATCTGATCAGATTACAGTACAGATTTAATCACACAGCTGTACAGCTGACGTCTGATGTGAGTTAGTGAGTGTGGACGACCTGACAATGAACACAGTGATGACCTGTATCAATCCCACCTCATATGTCTTGGAGCAGACAAACCATTGTGTAATAATGCCAGTATGGAACCAAGCAACCAGGATATATGACATGAACAAATTTCACTCATAGAAACAATGTGTCAATTACAGAAACAATGTGTCAATTACAGAAACAATGTGTCAGTTACAGAAACAATGTGTCAGTTACAGGAACAATGTGTCAGTTACAGGAACTCTAAATTAACTCTGGATGCAAAACATATCATCTTTGGATATAAAGAAAAAAGAAATGATGTACTAAACCTTATTATCATCGCAACAAAATACTATATATATGCAAAGAGATGTTCCAATTCGCATCCACAGATTGCTGGATTAAAACATTATCTACACAACTTTTATGAAATTGACAAATGTGCTGCCTTTTCGCACTGCAGCTATGGTAAATTCTTCACCTTTTGGTCATCTTGCCATAACCTCTTCACATAAATTGCAACAACAAATGTATTCTTATAGCCTACGGATTATCTACCACCCATGTCCTTGATTTATAATATTTACATGTACCACAAATGCATAAATTATACCCATTATAAAGAAATAAAGTGATAAAAAAAATTTGTTTAAAAATGGTTTCTTTCACAGAAAACATGTCTCAGTCATACAAAATGTTGCTGTCACTGCAAAATGTTCCTCTCTTTAATGATCAGTTTTTCAACAATATTTTACACTGTTCTCAGCCAATACATGTCACACTTCAGAAACAGATATCTATACAGACTCACAATGGTGTGTTTATGTTGGTTACATTTGTGGGAATTCCAGATTAGAACTGATCCCTAGCAATCAGGTGTTCAGGCCCTGTGACTTGGTTTATTGTATGTCATCATACCCCAATAGCATAGATCATTAATAAAATTATCAATCACTCAGTTTTCTGGTCCAGGTTGGATTATTAATAGCCTGCCATCTTATTGTTTTGTACACTGTTAAACAACAAAGTAATGTATTTATATACTTATTTATGCAATCTCTAGATGAAAAGCTTTGGGATAGAAATCAGTCCAAAGGGGTGGTGGGGTAGCCTAGTGGTTAAAGCATTTCCTCGTCATGCCAAAGACCCAAGTCCGATTCCCCACAAGGGTATAATGTATGAAGCCGATTTCTGGTCTCCCCCGCCGTGATACTGCTTAAATAAGGCTAAAAGTGGCATAAAACCTCACTCACTCACTCACTCAATGTCTGAAGTAGTGTAGGTTAAACCAGGGTGGTTGTGATGTAAAGTAAAGAGAGTGAATGTTAAAACCTTATCAGTGAAAGTATTTTGCACAGTTTGTAGCTGTCTGTTGGGACATGATTGTAGCCCAGTCAATACTGTACAACCCACTGCTGACTCCAACACACATCAGGTGCCGGGATCCATTTAGCCTTTGTTTGAGAACCTTATGGAGTGGTTTGCTATTTTGTCTGTTTAATGTTTTGTTTGACTCGTCATCAGCTTCATTAGGATGACAATCCTCTTGTCAATCTCAAACTGAAGTCCGGGAATTAGACCCAAAACAAAACCTTCAGCAATGTGATACCCATCTTATCTGATTTGTGAACATGGGATACAGAATACTAACAAAAATACATTCTTAACTACCCGGTATTTCACATTTCAGTTAATAAGAAGGAAAATGAAAATAAATCTTTTCTTGGACAATCGTACTACTCAATATTTTGTTAAAGAACAAATAGTCATTTTTAAGCCAAACATGTGGTTGTTTGGCTTACCACACCCTTGGCTAAAATGCGACTATTTTGTCCTTTTTCAAATGTTGAGTTTGTATAGTGTGTATAGTGTTCCCATGATATATGCTAGGCATCATGGGAAGCAAATCGTCACTTCTGTCACCATGTTTCTTTTCAATGAGTTTTAAAGAGCTTTTCTGAGAGACACGAGCTAACATCTCTGAAAGTCACATTTGTGTCAGCATGTTTCTCTTTTGAAAAAGCTTGGTAAAGAAAACAGTAAAGATATAGCAAATACTGTTAACTGATTATGATGTTTGTTTTCTGTGCGCAGTTTGCCGAGCCAATGAGCAAATACTGTCAGCATCGGTAAACGTTAACACCTCCCGGACAACTCTGGAGGACAGCAGCAGCCTAACCAATCAAGCCGTCAGATCCTTTAATCCACAACTAGTAGCCAGCACATCAGCACTGCCAGCATCTCAAACATCCGGCCCTCGGGAGAGGGGTGCGCTCACCTCATCTCTGACCCCACAGGATTATGGGATACCAGCATCTGACTCGGTGACCTCTGATTACATGTACAAACAAGAAAATATACTTTTCAGTCATGACTCATTATCGATATATTCATCATCTGTTCAAAGGACGGAAATGTTACAGACGAGTTATGATTCAAGTCATGTGAGTGTTTTTCCAGTTACATCTATTGTTGGTGGTGTTGCATCTTCAACACCGTTGCTGCAGGATGTATTGACAATTGTGTCACAGTCTTCTCTCTCCCATCATGTCATAGACAAAGTCACTGAGACAGGGCCTTCCTCAACAGAAGAACATCTCATGCTAAGTTCTTTTACTCAACGGATGTTAACGACTGTTCAGCCAGAACGTTTAAATCATGTGTTTAGCTCTCAATTACTCTCATCTTCAAGTCCTCTCAATGTTACACCAAAAGGGACACCATTACTAACGCCAATTCTGACCAGGTCTGTGTTTCAGAGCTTGCAATCCTCCCAACTAAGCAGGGTCATGCCGTCTGCTATGCCAGAGCAGACGTCAGTTTTGTCTCAAACACAGCAAAGCATACTGAGTAGCCAAGGACTGTCAGCAGTGACTTTGGCCATGTCATCGGGCTGGGGTAGGTTTTTGGATCGTGATTCAGACTCCCAGATTCAGGCTTCCAGTCAAACAGACAATGTCTCCAGTCAGCCCATCCCCTTACTGTCACCGACCAGTTCTGTGATACAGGCATCTAGTTCCAAGGTTGTGACACCACCTGTGTACCTATCCACAGAGGATCAGCATCTGGATGGTTCTTCAAACTTTGTGCAGTCTTTAGCAACAGAAGGAGTGAGTGAAATGCTGGTGATGGCGACAGAATCATCTGCTGTTGCTGGTGGTGTATCTGAAACACAGTCATCCCAGATTGTACAAGAATCTGTGTCTGTCTTTACTGTTCCAACCACAGAGTCTGTGTCCGTGTCAGAGTCTGTGTCAACATCAGAGTCTGTGTCAACATCAGTAGCTGTGTCTGGAGTCCTGTCTGTAGAACCATCTGCTACCAGTCAACCAGGCCTTCTTACTTCGCTCACCCCTCGGTCTGAAGAGTACACTAGTGGCCTTTCTGTGTCAAGTCCAGAAGGGGAGACAACTGAGAGACATATTGTCAGCACATCATGGACGGTAACTCATGAATCTGTAGCTCCATCTTCAACAACTGCACCATGGTCTGATCAGACAACATCAACATTTGTGATGCCTTCCCAAACTGTTTCTGTGACATCCAGTGTACCAATACACTCGAGTTCCATCACTACATCCAGGAGGCCGGCAACAACCACTGTCGCAACAACAACGCACAGTGCTTATCTCAAGGACTGTTACTTTGAACTGACATTTGATGTTGATTGCTTTTTAATCCTTAACAATTCCTTAGTCATGGCAGAGTTTGTGGGATCCCTGGAGAACGTGCTTGTGATCAACCTCAATGTGACAAAGAAGCAGATAAAGCTGTATGACCCACAGTGTGGCTCTGTGATCATTCATGTGGGTCTCATGCAGGTGCCCTACCTGGCTCTCCGCAACAGGCTTTACGCTCAGTTCCGACAACGCCAGTTTGATGTTCCAATCATGATCAACAACCAGTGGCTGAAATTACCAGGGATGAAGGTCACTGAAATCGATCCCCCTGCATCCACATTCAGCCCGATTGAACCACCCGATACCAGTTTGGACAAGGTCGACCTTATCGTGATCATTGTAGCTTGCTGTATCTGTGGTATTCTCATCACTATTGGTGTCATCTTGTGCGGGAAGGAGTGTTGGAAGAGGAAGTACGCCCAATCCTTCGACCTCCTGGAGGTGCCACACGTGAACCTGAAACTTGAGGACTTCACTCTGACACGGATCCCACGTCCAAAGGCTGTGTATAACGAGGAGTCTGTCACAATGCAGGGCTATGTGGACAACAGCTCACAGAGGATTGTCAAAACCAGTGGCCACCAGGTTACGAATGGTAATGGAGTACATTCCAATGATATTCATGTGAGGATGAAGCAGAACAAGGATGGTTTAGTTGTAGGCGTGACTGGGTACACGACTCAGACAAACGGAGTGTCCGACAGAGCGGCCAAGCGGAACAGTTCTGTGTGTAACGAGGCCTCTCATCAAGGAGATCCAGCAACAGAGAACCTGTTGAAAAACACGGACCGTGGCACCGCCATTGGCACCAACAATCCCATATTTGTGGACGACGAGAATCTCACAGGAGACCAGAAAGAATAAATCCAAACATATTTTTGCTATCATTTTTAGAAATGAGTTGGAATCAGAGATTTCAACCATTGTGTTATAATCAGTGAATTGTGAACATATTGTAAACAAATATTCATGTAATTTGCTGGCAAATTTATTTTGTATGACATTGTTTACATGAATGTGTATGTCTGTATCTGTATGTTGCACTGTATGTGTGTGATAACAGTGGCTATAAATCCGCTTCATTCTGATGGAGAGTTGAATACATTCATTATGTCAATTACATTATTATTACAATTACAAAGCACATGTACATAGTTTTCACAATGAACACTGAACAACAGGGATATATGAATTTCCAAATTCACACCGGAGGCGGACCAACTGCAAAATGCTGTCTTAATAGTTTTTGATTTCTAAATTCAGAAATATTTTATCATTGAATTATTTAAAGTAATTGGTTTTTTTATTGGTTTCAGTATTGTTAGTGAAATACATCAAGTCTTTGTGAAACTCAACTATTATATAATGAAATAATGTTATCTTAACCAGCATTTGGGAATATCTATTTCCTATTCGTAAGTGATATTTGTTGGGGCTCTGGTGCAGACTACCAACCTCTAATGCTGGCTTTACACATGAAGGTCCAGGTTAGAATTGATTTTCAGTAAACCATACTTGTCTTAAGAGCCGACGAACAGGATCTGTTGGTCAGGTTTGCTGACATGGTTGACACATGTCATTGGTTCCCAAATGCGTAGATCAATGCTCATGCTGTTGATCACTGGATTTTCTGGTCCAGACTCAATTATTAAAGACCGCAACCATATAGCTGGAATATTGCTGAGTGTGGCGTTAAACTAAACTCATTCACTCACTCATACTGGCTTGATATATCCCTGGACAGAGTTTTATGACAACATAGTAATTCAGTGTTCTGTTCAGGAATATTTTGACATAGGTGCAACAGACACTGTGAGATAACTGTTCTGTGTCACAGGATTCAATATGGCCACTAGTCTGCTTGTTTACTAGTCAACTCATCCTGGACTGTTGAAAGGGCTAGTCATATCCCCTGTAACTTTTCATTTACAACTAGTTGGCGGTGGATTGTGGGATTTATTTATTCATGATTTCTGCCCTGTATCTTCAAACTGATTAAGGAATCTGTGAATATTATGTCACTCTGGACATAGTGTGATATCACATATTTTTATATTAATAAAATATTAATCTTTAAGCAAAGAAAATATTTTAAATTTATAGATCTTAACTTGAAATATTCACAATAGAAAGGGAAGAGCTGTTTACTTTATCAAACTTTTACTCATGAATATTTAGTGTCAGTTTAACAGCAGGCAAAAGAAAGGATATACTTTTGTTTAACTGTGGCTTGAAATAAAAGAAACAAGAAATGTTTTATTGAATGTGATGTTTTTAGCAGGTATCATACATGTGTTCTGGATCTTAAATCTGCAATGTTTGGGAAAGTGTCCTTGGCATAGTAATGTTTTGATAACGTTTTTTATTTTTTTTATTTTTTGTCAAATCCAATTTTGAAGGTCACTCTCTTTTGTCAAGCACAGTTGATGTAATGTTTAATGTGGTAATTACCGTAATCGTTGATGCAAAGGCATGGTCTTCCTTTGTTTCCAGTGCTACCTGGCTTCTATCATTCCATGTCATATAAGCTATATCAACATACATAGCTGGTACTTAATAGAATAATTCAGGCTTCTAGTCATTGTTTTGTGCCACCATAGACCAAACCAAAGATGAACTAGCAATGCAATATTATTTTCCTCATGTTGCCAATGGCTTGGTGTAGTAGTGCCTCAATCTATACTGTAAATCTCCTGCAGCTCATTATTGATTTAAAGTTGGTACCTTACTGCAACAAACAATGTTTATGTGATACTCAAAAACAACATACCTCACACTGTCCTTCATGGTTGTGTTCAGATACATTCCAAACTAGGACCTGTACTCACCACACAATACACACACCACACAATACACACGGGAGGTCACAAGTCAACCCAGGACCTGTACTCACCACACACTACACATTGGAGGTCACAAGTCAGTCGAGGACCTGTACTCACCACACAATACACAGGGAGGTCCAAAGTCACAGGTCACAAGACAGCCCAGGACCTGTACTCACCACACAACACACACAGGGAGGTCAGGTCACCCAACCTGTCAACCCAGGGCCTGTACTCACCACACAATACACAGGGGAGGTCACAAGTCAACCCAGGACCTGTACTCACCACACAATACACAGGGAGGTCACAAGTCAGTCCAGGACCTGTACTCACCACACAATACACAGGGGAGGTCACAAGACAGCCCAGGACCTGTACTCACCACACAATACACAGGGGAGGTCACAAGTCAGCCCAGGACCTGTACTCACCACACAATACACAGGGGAGGTCACAAGTCAGCCCAGGACCTGTACACACCACACAATACACAGGGTGGGTCACCTTCAATAAATCAGAGCAAGGTAGTCACCCTCTCACGAAAGGGCTTGTTAGTTGATGAATGGTCTGTATCCACAAGTATATTACCCAGGATGCCAATTAATAGAGGACAGTGACAATATAACCAATCAGAAGGTAAGCTCAAGTATTTAGTGACAGCTTCTAACCAATCAGAAGTCTTGTATCAAAGGATATCAAATCCGTACTATATTCAGAGTGTGTCTTCATTCCCAACCAGTTTATGATGGGGTAAAGTTTATTTGCAATAGTAGGGACCAATAAAGATTTGGAATGAATGTTTTGTAAACACTGTATATTTTCACTATGATGTGCACTGTAATCTAGTCACTATTTCAAGCATTTCTATTTTTATGTATAGTCAATATATATCTTAGTTAGTTATTTGTTGTCATTATATTTTTACATGACTATATTAGCACATTATTATACCTTCTTTGTCACATTGAATGAATAGCTTTTATAGAGAGTAGTACAATTATATTTTGTTTTTTTTATTTGAGTTCAAATCACATAAAATTCTATTGAAGAAAACAAGCCACAAATGTCTCTACTAACATCAGATTCATACATCAAGTGCGTTTGTCCACAGCTCAAGCCACTGGCTGTGATTATAGACTGACTAAATATTTATCTTCATGTCACAAGTAAAGGTTTAATATGAACCAACCACATGTTCCAAAATTAAATGATGCATTATAAAACAGAATTGTCTTGTTAAATTATATGCCGGAATATGTACTTTCAGCACCTTGGAAGTGTTTTTCTTATTTATTATACCAGTTTGCTTTTCCAAGTGTATTTTTTTCATTTCTTAAGTTCAAGTGGCTTTAAAGGCCAGGTGGGCTGATTAAGCCATTAAAGTATAATGACATTAATTTGTGAAAATTTCATCTTGTGTCACAGATTCGCTAATGGTTTGAGGGTAAGGAATTGGTCAGTGTTTTGCTGTATTGAAGTAGAGAGTTCATTTAGTTAGGCCTCATCGTCCACTTGTACAGTGTACTTGAAGGAACAGGAAACACCAATTCTCCTACTGCTGGTGAAGATGACAGAGTCAAGCTTGGATTCTAATTATCCTTTAAATAGGTTTTATCCCCAGCAGAGATGGTTGCCGACGACGACTGCATATCACTCGTGTCTCTCGTCCAGCTGAGTGTCTCTCTATCTCTCTTGTGTCTCCTGTCATATGACATAACAAGATTAGAGCCACTTAATAACATCAAGACTGAAATACCAGCAGATTTTACCTCTCATAAGAAAATAATGAGTTCCACATTCTCCGAGACTGTGCTCTACAGCTTGTCTGAGATGTGAAGGATGAGAAGAACAAGATGTAATTAGTTTCAATGTGGAGGACATTATCTTGAAAATACCTTCAACCTCTTTTTAATTATTTTATATGATTTAAGCTCTTTCATGAATCTTACTATGATGGTATCGTTTGTTGTTAGATCTTATCTTTTTTATATATTAGATGAACTATGTCTGAGAATGCCAATATGGCATTGCTGGTGTGTGCAAAACATTATTACCTTGAAATTCTTGAAGAAAAAACAAGTAATTTGTTTGTTTTAGATTCTGTTTTGTTGTAATTAAACAAATGTTCATGAAAACTTAAAATGAAGATTTGATTGTTTAGATTTATTATAGTCCTTTTCGGCCCACTGGGTAGATATAAAATGGAAAACCTACATTAATCATTACAACAGTGAACAGATGCATTCACATGGATGAGATTTAGACTTGGTTCATTCAGTAATTGCATATCTGGGACTGATATTCACACTACATGCATGGGCTTGAGTGAAACATTTGCCAAAAGTGCTGTTTCAGAAATTGAGGGAAACAATTTTTTGTAAATTTAAATGTTTTTCAGGCAGTCTTCAGACAACTTTTGCAGCTTGAGTTAGATTTCAGTTTCATCATGAAGACAGAACATCTGCCGCATCAAGGCTGAATCATGAACAACCTGGCCACCATGATCACACAATTGACCTAATTCAAATCCCAAAGTCTAATTCCTGTTAGCTTATAAGTAACATATGGTCTTTCAGTTATGTTTTTCAATACCTATCAATGTTATAAAACTCAGTTAAATCTTGCTAGGCATCCTATATATGTAAGCTGTCAGGTAACAGTTTAACCAAGCTAGGTAACCTTGTGTCAAAATACTAATAATTCCTACCGCCATGGATCCTCTAAATTCCAGGGCTAATATTATGGTTACACCTACACTAACCTCCCCTTGATTTTCAGTAGCCAATACGATGTTTATACACTCATCGGTATGAGGGACCAATCAGAATGCAAGTTACAAACCAGCCTCAACACTGTTGGCAATATCAACAACCTCTCCCTTTCATTGTGATGGAGATTGCGAGAAATTCATTGAAAAACTGGCATACAAAAGAAAGCCTCAAATTTCTTTAAGATGTCGATAGTGTAGGTGTACAGAAATGACGAGCCCTTGGGATACAGAGGATGACGGCAATGCTGTGTCTGATGGATGCTTTAAAGTGTTTAGATACGGCTTCATCTCTTTGGAATCCAGTCTGTGCCAAATTCCTCATGGAGCCCTAACTAGTCTTTCATGATCGTAAGCAGCAGCCCTCTCTACTCTGTGTAGCCATGTTGACTTGACCAACAGAACTGCACCAGCTTCCACAGCTGGTTAAAGACATAGACAGAGAAGGAACTCTTGATATGTAGATTTTAACAGGGCTAAAGAAAACCAAAGTTGCTTAAAGACATAGACAGAGAAAGAACTCTTGATATGTAGATTTTAACAAGGCTAAACCAAACCAAAGTATCTTAAGCAATCCAGTAAAGAAGTACTGCATACTTAAGTGTGTGGTGGCTGATCACATTGTATAAAACTTGATATGTAGAACATGATATTGAAGCTTGTGCTTTTTAACAGATTTTACTATTTAACGGATTTTATCTGACTTTTAGCCGTCTTTATCAAATTGAAGAAGCCAGTAGAAATATATTTTTATCAGATATTTTATTCAGTCTGAATATAAAAAGGTGATTGTACTCCAGATGACATAGTATATAGTTTTGTATTCTTGATGTCTACTTAAGTCACTTGGATAGTTTTGTATTTTATTGTAGTGTTGTTGTTGTATACTGGATAAGGACATATCAACTCACACAGAAAAGGGTACAGTTTATTGGTAGAGCCTTGATGTACAGAGCTGTACACTTCCTGGTTGGGCTGTACAGTATGTCAACACATTCATCTCTCAGCTAGGACACTACACATGTTTTAGTGTAAAACATCAATACACATCCTTGCGAGAAGGATACCTTTATGCCAAACATTGTTACTACCCACACAAGCACTGATTGGCTATTTGAGGGTGCTATTAGTTTAGTCCAAAGGGGTAGTGGGGTAGCCTAGTGGTTAAAGCATTTGCTTGTCTTGCTGAAGACATGGGTTTGATTCCCAACATGGGTACAATGTGTGAAACCCATTTCTAATGTCCCCTGCCATGATATTGCTAGAATATTGCTAAAAGTAGAGTAAAACCCACGTCACTCACTAACCCATGTCCGAGACAGAAGCACCTGTGTTGACACTGATTCAGAGAAAGCTCAATGCATCAAGCATCAGTACCTTTATGACCATGTGTGGCTGAAAGCAAACTTATAGGCGGCCAGTCTATAAAAAATTCATCAATTGAAAGATGTTTCACCTGTAGTATATTATATTTCTCTTGTCCTACAAGGGGTCATTTATTGCTGCACCTGGTCCTACTTTCTCATACTACACTGCACCCTTTGTTGCCGTGCATATAAGTGTTGTGCACTTCTATACATAGTTGTGCACTGCATGCACGTATGATGCATGTTTCGGAACAAGCCGATCAAACTGGGAATATTGTACAAACTGCAGCCATCAGGCATTCTTTATTGGAAATATCCTTCACAGATTTCGTCATTTAAATCCTTTTCGTTTTTCAGTACCTATTGTTCTATTTCTTACGACTCCTTTTTTGTCCTGCGTATATGATATGCCAGGCTTGTTTATTGATGTTTATGTTGTACTTGTGTTTCATTGTTCATATGTAAATACCCACCTTTAAGTAACGTTTAATATCTTCCATAACATTCGCCTGTTACTGTTGACCTTTCGTTCAACCGATGTACTTTTTTACTCAATGGCCGTGTATTAAAGTGTTACTGTGTTTATGCTGCAGTTGTAACCAAATGCTTCCGTAAATGTGCATAGGGTTAGGAATTGTAAGAATTTGTAATGTTTTGATAAAACATTCGCATATATGTCAGGTGTTGCTTAAGGATTACCATGGCGATATGGTGTGATTTGTACAGAGCACTGTAGAAGTCATTCACTGCATTCCATTTGCTGTGATAGATCTCTACCTGATGTGGTAATCTACCTATCGTGGTAGATATCTAACTGATGTGGTAGACACCCACATGTTTGTCATTGTAACTCTCTACCTGAACTGGTAGGGAGAAGTCAATTCTGTTACACGTGAAAGGATCTGAATAAACATTATATTTGACCACTTTGTATTGTGTTGTCTCATCTTGCTTGTCTGTCAGGACACAGCGCATATAGAGAAATGTGCTTCATTCGCAGGAATTGTGTCCCCACTATCATACTGGATGTCTGTCTCTTTACTACACCAACTGCACATCCTATTGCCCCATACTACCAGGTACCCATTTCCTAATACTAGCGAGTACCATTTTCTTATACTACTGGGTACCCATTTCCTAATACTAGCGAGTACCATTTTCTTATTCTATCAGGTACCCATTTCCTAATACTAGCGAGTACCATTTTCTTATACTACTGGGTACCCATTTCCTAATACTACCTGGTACCCATTGCATATACTACCAGATACACATTTCCTCATACTACCAGATACCATTTCTCATACTACTAGGTACCCATTTCCCATCATGCTACCAGGTACCCATTTCCCATTTCACATACTACAGGGTACCATTTTCCCATACTATCTGGTACCCATTTCCTCATACCAGGTACCATTTCCACATATACAGTACCCATTTCCCCAAACTACAGGGTACCCATTTTCCCCATACTACCAGGTACCCATTTTCCCATACTACCAGGTATCCATTTCCACATACTACCGGGTACCCATTTCCCCATACTATCTGGTACCCATTTCCTCATACTACCAGGTACCCATTTCCACATACTACCAGATACCCATTTCCTCAACCTACAAAGTATCCATTTCCACATGCTATCTGGTACCCATTTCCTAATACTTGTGAGTACCATTTATTCATACTACTGGGAACTCATACTACTGGGTACCCATTCCCTCATACTACCGGGTACTCATTGCACATACTACCAAATACCCACACTACTGCATACCCATGTTATCAGAGGTGCAATAATCTTGAACGCAAGTTAAATCCCATTTCACCTCTTGTGAGGTGGAACAACAGATACCTGTAAGGTCATGTTTAAATGCCTACCAGGGTTATAAAAAATCACACTTCAAGTTCTCTTTCATTTCCAGCTGTACATCTGACGTTTAATGATTTTGTTTGTTTGTGTTTTTTTATAAATGCTGGAATATTCCAGCCACATGACACTGGTCGATTAAAAATCAAATCTGGACGAGACAATCCAATGATTGACATCACGAGCGCCAGTTCACGCACTTGCGATACAATGCTATGCATCAACAAAGTCAGAGAGCCTGAGGGCCCTTCCCTGGTGAGTTCCTCTTAGGACAAGCAGGGGCTGCTGCAGACCAATTCTTCAATGGCGCCAAGGTTTAATGAAAATAAGTAGACATGTCACTTTAACTCCCAAAGTACTAGGCAGAATTTGAATTTGAAAGCAGTATCCTTGAGACACTTTGCTGTAAGGCTTTACTTGGATTACAGTGATTAGATCCTTATAAAATGCGAGTCCACTAATTTAAGCGACAATGAAAGGTCTTTTGTAGGGCAGCCTGTTCTTAGTAATCATACAGTTTGAAAATATGTTTCAAATTAAAATTTACTGCCCCATACGTGTGCACGTCTGTCCTCCGAGTTATGGGTATACCTGTAAATGATGTGTAGTATAGTGAGTTACGTATGTTTGAAGACTCGTGAAGATCCCGGTTAGAATTGGTCTCCAGCAATCCTTGCTTGTGTTTTGTACAAAGCTATTATGTTGTTATTTGTTTAGTCATACTTTAAAGAAACATCGAAATTCATAAAATGTGTAGAAATAATTAACAGGTACTCATTTCCTCATACTACCTGGTACCCATTTCTTTAAATGGTAAAAAAAAACGTGTAATTGTAAAACAGGATATTGCTAACATTGAGTTCAGCATCTGAGTGTTGAAGAATGATGGCGAATTTGCTTTACATCTCCATGAAGATATGACACAGTGCTGACGCCATGGGGATACCTCGCAGCAAGTTTTCCTCTGTGTCCCTGAGTTCAAATTGTCTGTCGGACAAGCAGAGACCATATAACAAAATTCAGAAATGCCAAATCTGATTTTATGGTTATTGGATGGAATTCTTTGTTGAAGGCAATACATTTTGGGCAAGTTTGGTTCACGAGTCAATATACGAGCGGCCAGGAACTGAGAAACACGGATGTAATAAACAAACGAAGTGTCACCATGTGTCACAATGAATGTTGTATATTTTACAGGCGCTTCTACATAGGTGCATGCTTGTGTGACAAAGTGTTCAGATCGAGAACTGTGGGACGACATCCTTACAACTATTTTAACCACAGCAGTCTACACGTTCACTGGATGCGATACGCGTTCTCTCTTCCCACAGATGATATTTCCCCTAGTAAAAGTATGCTGGCAAACCCATCAATGACAGTATATACCTTGATGCCATTTTTTTTTCCGTTACAATCCCATTTTGGTTGGTAATAATAGTTGGTTTGTTGTTTAATTAACGCCGCACTCAGCAATATTCCAGCTATACGCCGTATCATGAGCATCTTTCTACGCTAGTGGGATACCATGACATGTCAACCACGTCAGCGAGCCTGACCACCTGATCCCGCAAGTCGCCCCTTCGACAAGCATGGGTTGCTTAAAGACCAATTCTCACCACCCGGATCTTCACGGGTTTACAAGCTCATGTGTCTTCACATTCAGCTGTTATATGTGTATTTAGAGGTTTAGTGAGCCTGAAGGTGAGTGATACGTACATGTAATATATGTGATATTAGGGAAATACGTATGTTTCGTGTAAGCAGCTTAATATTGCTGAAGACGTCAATCAAGATCTGACTGGGATTTACTTTTGTCACCCGTCGATAGGATTCAAGGTTTTATGGAACACACCCTGGAAGGTGTAGCGACATCTAGCGTCAAGGTTAGATATGTGTAATAATACAACTTCATGAAACCATTAAAAAATGATTGTAAATATTCTCATCCTGGCAAATATATAGATAAGTTACAGTAGAAATGAGCAGGTCCGAATCTTTTCGACACCTTGAGGCCCGTCCTGAAAACTAATCTTCGACTGTCCAGAGACGTATATATACAAGTCTTGGATTGTCTAACAAGTGACAGAGAACAACATTTGTTCGTATACAGCACGTCCTTGTAACAATACTGCAATGACGTCATCGCCTGGTGTATGACGTCATTAACACCTGTCGAAATCAACTAATGGCCGACACAGATAAGAAGAACGGCATGTAAACGACGCATTTTATCACAAGATGTGACTGACAACCGAGATTTAGGACTAGAATATGTTGGCCAAAAAACTTCACGTAAACAGACAATGCCATACTTGTTAATTGTAATATTCAGCTTCAGTTTGATCACAGCGCAGACACGTGAGTAGATCTATTTTTTAGCCAAATTCCACTTGTAAAAACCAAGCAATAAGCAAGCATACTAAAGAGCATAGTCCCTCACCTAACGTTTATGATACTAGTCAGTGCATACCTGTATATTTGATAGTATCCCCGTCAGTGTATTTTAGGGTTTAAAGGGTTACATTCAGTGGGGAGTACTGCACTTTACCGGGCGCACTTTTTCAGACTAATTAGCGCTGCTGGGGTTCCCTAACCCTAACCCTTACCCCTAACCCTAAGGATCGTAAAGGGTGCCTAACCCCAAGGATCGTAAAGGGTGCCTAACCCCAAGGATAGTAAAGGGTGCCTAACCCTAAACCCTAGTGTATATCTGTTTAAGGATCGTAAAGGAGCAAAGCTGCGCCCGGTGTGTGCATTCTAGCCCATTCAGTGTGTGTGTGTGTGTGTGTGTGTGTGTGTGTGTGTGTGTGTGTGTGTGTGTGTACCAGTAAGTGTATTTCTGTTTATTTAATTTATAAAGGAGTACCAGTAACTGTATTTCTGTTAATTTAAGTTGTAAAGGGGCACAGTATTTCTGTATGAGAAATGTTACGGGTGTCCGTTTGAGCATATGTTTAAATGAGTTGTGAAGGGGTACCCGTCAGTGTATATCTGCTAATCAGGGTCACGTGTCTGGTGACAGGAGGGTCGATCCAGTGTTTTAACTGTACAACAACAACAGACGTGTGGTGCAACGACCCCTTTGACACCGAGGGCCGGATGTCCTACACGTGTCGACAGGGACAGGCGTGCTTCAAGGTCACCGCAGGATCGCAAGGTTGGTTCAATAAGCAAATGAAAGTAAACAGATTGCACTTTGTGCCGCATCTTTTCGACAAATAAAATCTTTCCCCAAAAACAATAAAACAAACAATGTAAAAAAATATTGCTATAACAATAGTTGGGTCACTCCTATCACCCCTTGTAGGACCTTTAGAATACAACACCACAACTTAACGATCTTAAGTGGCAGGTCCCATGCCACTGAGCCAAGAAACCAGCTTAAAATGCTGTCGGACGCGACCTCGGAATAGTGTTTCCTCGTGGACTAATGATTTGCGTTTTTGCGTTTAACGAGGTCACTATTTTAAATTCCGTATACATCATGTAGTCGTCTATATGTCGACTGTTTGACTGAGTTTGGTTTTACGACGCTTTTAGCACTATTCCTGCAACATACGGCAGGGGCACCTTGAAATGTCTATATGTCGGAGGTTTGTGTTAAGGTACGAGGTTTTATTATCACCTTAGCACTAATGCCAATACGTACAGCGGCACCCTGACGTTAAAGACAACCAAAAATAATATCGGGGACGAATGTTGGATTAGAACATTCAGTCAGCAGATACTTGCAAGGCAAGTGAGGCAATTCAGCGCAGACCATTGCGGCGTCTTAAAGGAGGTCTGTCAATTCCTATTTCCATGGACCCTGTCAGTATTTAGTGAGTGAGTTCTTGTTCGTTGTTGACACAAGAATATGGGTACAATGAAGCCTTTCTGGTAATACGCCGTGATATTGCTGGAATATTGCTAAAAGCGGCGTAAATACTCACTCACGAAATTAAAGAAGTTGTTATCCGTTAAGTTTGTTCAAATTTGTATGTCCCAACTTCTAAAACGCCACCCAGAGAAGTGATTCAGTGAGGATGAAATACAATGCATTGCTGTCAACAGACATTATTTCGAAACGTTAAACTGAATACAAATCACTGTGTTTTCATCTAGTGACCAGAGGTTGCATGTTTCACTCTGTGGGACGTGAGTCGGCCAGACAGCTGAACGAGGACGGCGCCAACTGCTACACCGACATCATCAGCCCCACCTTCCAGGAGAGGACCGTCTGCACGTGCGATGACGACCTCTGCAACGCCACAGCACACGACGTCTTCTCTAACGTAGCTGTAGCTGTAGCCGTTGTAGCTGCTCTGGTCGTCCCACTTGTCATAATCTAGACCTCCACTCACAGCCATCGTCTACAACAACTAAATCGTGCCCTGGTGCGACAGTGACAACAATGTCTGTCTGTGAATGTGACCATCGTCTACAACAACAAGACAACAGTGTATGTCTGTGAATGTGAACGTTGTCTACAACATCAACCACAGTGCAGATGTGACGACAATGTCTGTCTACGTGGCCGTCGTTTACATGCCCTACAGTGTATTCCATGACAACCGATCATCTTAAAGGAACAATTAAGTGTCCAAGACATCTGCAAGGGCGCCCTGTCTCTTCTCTGCCATATTACGTTTCATATGCAATGTATGGAACTGAAAATTGATGATACACTCGCATGGATCTTTAATTATTTTTTTTCATTTTAAACAGTTACGTGAAAGCGTGTAAAATAAAAATAATAAATTTACAACTTCATCCATAAAAACTCAACTATACTCACTGTTGACCATATCGTTTACAAATTCATCTGTTCACAATACATACAGTAGAGACTGACAGATACAGCCTTGCCTAACCCCAGCATTTTAATTAGATATCTGAAAACATACTCTATTTGACCACTGCTTTTACTGTACATTTTACAAAGAAGAGTGTCTTGCAATGTATGCCATTTGGGACCGTAAATAATTTATGGCTAGTGGGGTGAAGATGATTTTAAGGGGGCATCACGCATTTTGTTCTGGGGACGTAAGAGGGTTCAGCAATTTTGTACATGACATGCAGGGGTGGGGTGGATGGGTTGTCACTTACTTTGTACATAATTTTAGTGTGTCTGTCTGTGTGTGTTTTTTTCACATTGTACAAGCTTCTCCATAATAATCATCATCACCCTTCTTGTCATAAATTATGAACAGTCCCTTAATAGGAAATATATAGAGAAGTTTAATATTTATCTAATTGTGTTTAAAACTCTTCATATAGAACTCTTGACAACTGATGAATATATTCTCTCTCAAAACATTATTTGCAGATATAAATTCACATGCACCTGTTCTGGACACTGTTGTGCACTGTTCTTCAGGGAGCAACATTGTACCTTCACTGTTAAAGTTTTCTCAGTAAAATCCAGTGAGAGCATTACCACTTAAACATGTTTACAGATAATAATCATACCGTTTCACCAGTTCATCTCTTTCCTCCTCATGCAGAAGTCTCTAAACCTTCTAACAATATTTACTGTCATCAGATAACCTTGTTGCTTTACATCCTCAACAGCCGTCAGCCACTACTCAGCTGACAGATGCAGTATCCAAGATGTAATACAAAACCAAGAAGTCTGCCCTCCTTATAAAGCCAACATTTGTTCTGGTATTTATAGCCAGTGTGGCATTATAACCAGCCTTTAAGTCAGTCAAAACCAAGTCATACATGAATACATGTAAATTTAATACAAAATGATGTGTAGAGAGATCATTATTCACACATGTATATCTACTTGAACTAGAAAACAACAAAATAAAATTGATATTATGTGCACTGAATGGACAAAGTAGACTGTATCACGAGGAGTCATACCTTTGTGAATCACCTTCACCCTGGGAGGGAACAGTTTGAGATCATGTGACTTGGACAAACATGTCCTCACAGCACATACAGTGGATGGACGGGTTATATTTTAGTGTTGTTTTGATACTTTGACAAAAGGACATCGGGAATTAGACCATCAATGTCAGTCAAGACAGAATGAAGGTTCTATTATGCAAAATGCCTGTCAATATGCATAAGTGAGTGAGTTTGTTTTACTCCACTTTTAACAATATTCCAGCAATATTGCTGTGAGGGACAACAGAAATGGGCTTCACACATCCTACTAATGTTGGGAATCGAACATGGGTCTTTGGCAAGATGAGCAAACACTTTAACTACTAGGCTACCCCAGGGCCCCTCAATATGCACAAATGTATAGAATGGACACATGTATGACAATTAATATGTTTGTATAGGATGAGTCATAAAAAAATGACTAAGGTGTACAGCACAGGATTATCATTTCCTGTGCTATGGGTTTTGAGATTACTATGGGGCTTCAGTATTTTAGCCGTCCAGACTTGGTTCCCATCTTCAAGCAGTAACAAGATGAGCATGAAGACCAAGAGTCACTATTGGTCAATTTGTTGGTTAGACCCTGTATATTCCATGAAATATAGGATAATCTTTTGCCTGATTTTCTGACGAGAAACCATCAATGAACCACACAACACATAAAATGTCAGTCAGCCACTGTAATCTTGAAGATATCAAACCAGTCTGCTCTTATCAGGTTGAACATGGACCTGTTTCTGAAATACAGCTGCATATTAGCTGTCTGGTCGTCGTCAACGATGTTGCTGGCCATCCACTCCTTCATCAATCTGGAGTGGAGAGTGTGATACAAAGACAACACCTCCACTCCGCCACCGAACACTCCACCTACCATGATGTTGATATTCTTCTTATAAAGGTCCTTGACCTTGGACCAGAGTTCAATGTCATCTCTGACTAGGAAGGTCAACTTATGGGGAACTTGAGTTAGTCTGTGGGGCTTCCAAATATTGTCCCGAGGAAAGATGCCTTCTTTGCCATGTCCATACCCACCGTCCAGCCAGAAGAAGTAAGAATTGTTGAAAGGGTTCAGTCTCATGGCTTCATTCACAAGATCTATTTTGGACAGTTGTACAATATCATAGTCAGGGTTAGTTGCCTCAACATGGTCTCCCTGGACTAGCAGCTCATTCCCTCGCTGAAACTCGTCACTGACCATAATCTGCTTCATTCTGGACTTATACTTGTAGTATGGAAGATCGGGCAGCTGGATTGGGAGAATTGTGGTGGACCCTTCTCGCCCTCTTCTCATCCATTCTACAAATGGCCGCCCCTTTTCCTCGATGTAGATCACCATATTGACATCCAGCCTCAAGACCTGGGACATGTGTAGCAGGTAATTGTTGTAGCTGCGACTCTGCTTCGACCATGATCCTCTACCTATATCAATCATCCCTGTTACCACGGTGAAGTTGTACACACCTGCAAATAAAGAGTGAGTGAGTGAGTGAGAGAGAGAGAGTGGATGTTCTTTTTCATGCTGTAGTGAGCAATATTCTAGATGCATCGCCTTTAAATCAGTCTCTACATAAACTGAGGGTGTATTGTTTTACATCACTTTCATCAACATTCCAACAATATCATGGCTGGGGACACTAGAAATGAGCTTCACATACTGTACCCATGTGGGGAATCGAGCCTGGGATTTTGGTGAGAGTGAGTGAGTGAGTGAGTGAGTTTAATTTTACGCCGCTTTTAGCAATATTCCAGCAATATCACGGCGGGGGACACCAGAAATGGGCTTTACAACCCAGGTCTTCGGCGTGACGAGCGAACGCTTTAACCATTAGGCTACCCCACCGCCCGATTTTGGTGAGAGGAGGCAACACTTTAACCACCAATATACATGTACCCCATTGCCCCAACAACTCAGGTGACTCTAACAGACAAGAGCATAAACCAAACTGTTCATAGTATGAGGGTTGGTGAAAACATTGTCAGTCACACCACATAATGTAAGCATGAATATATAATATCTCACATTTACAAAAAATACACTGAGAAAGTAACTAAAGTATTAGATAAAATCAATGTTAGTACAAAAGACCTTAATTACATTTATTAGATTTTCTTTTGGAAAAGAGGACAGCTTGCAAACTGCAGGCTACAACTGGATACCAGACCTTGAGTTGATTTGCTGATGAAAATGGTTGCACAGCTACAAGCAGCTAGGAACAGACTGAAGACAAATTACTGATAAAAGATAATGTTTTCCACAGAATATTTTATTGCACATCTGACTGATAAACATACCCTATCAGTGGCGGATCTGGGTTGGGGGTGGGTGGGGGGTTGGTTGTTGTCAGGGGTTCGACGACACCCCCACCCCCCGGGAAAATGACTTAAGACCACATTGAAAAAAAAAATTCGCGTTGGCCTTTCAAGATTCCTGGATCCGCCCATGCCTATATCCTGAAGTGGGGAGGCAACTAAGGATTTGAGCTTTTCCAACCTTTTAGCATGTTCATACGGGATATTAGGTTTGGTCAAATCAGGTCTAATTAATAAACAATGAATCGATCTGTCGGTCTGGTACGTGTGCATATAAATGTAATACCTGTCTTTTCTCCAAAGCCTTGCCAGCCTGTTACCATCTTGCTGAGCCGTACATCGTCAGGTGTCCGTCGGAACATCGCCAGGACTTGGAATCCCACCAGGCAGACGATGAATGTTGTCGCCACTACCAAAAACGTCCACGAGGTGACGACCGCCTGGATCAACACTGTCCGTCTTTTCATCCATCTCCAGCATATCTAACATGGAACAAAATGAAGATATCGACATGTATGTCTTGCACAGAGAATTGGTCACGTTCACTTTTACATACCTGCCAAATCTCTCACGCATTTGGCTTGAAACTCACGCTTTCATTACTCTTGTCACGCTCTCACGACTAAACCGATATATCTCACGCCAAACTGAGTTCATATGAAAAATAAAAATACAAATGTGGTTCTCCCATCCTGTTTCACATTTTGACCACTTAAAATATCTCAAATAGTCTGAATGAATCTTTGTCAGAGATTTTTCTGAGAAAGTTCCTGACCCTGCCGGCCTGCGGGCCTTGGACCCGTATCTCCATCTCCATTAATTCTCTCCTGGGGTAATAAGCTCTGCGTTTTTAATTTGTGTAACAGCTTTGACAGGTATACCTCCGTCATGTACCTACCCAACCAGAACGAGAAGGTTCACATCTCCAGTATAAACCATCGCTGCATCGCATTGAAGCAGCGACAATACAATGTTATTGTACTGCAGTGTAGTCTCTGATTGAAGCGACCGGTGTATTTTTTTATAACGAACTTAGTGCACATTCTGTACCTTTTGAAGATCCATTTATCAACAGGATGTCTTTCGGACATTGATATTTTCAGCAACACCTGTGTTTTTGTGAGCAGGACGATACAGTAGCTTCTTGGAACGAGGGCAGAACGGCCACCGTATAAAACAGCCAGTGCTTGTTTAATTAAAACGGACATGGTTAGGGAGTGAGTGGGTGAGTGAGTGAGTTTGGTTTTACGCCGCTTTTAGCAGTATTCCAGCAATATCACGACGGGGAAACCAGAAATGGCTCCACATATTGTGCCCATGTGGGGAATCGAACCCGGGTCTGCAGCGTGACGAGCGAACGCTTTAACCATTAGGCTACCCTACCGCCCCTACTTAGTTAGGGAACGCTGCATCACGAGAGTGAGTTGGGTTTTATGTCGCTTTTAAGAATATCATGGCAGAGGACACCAGGAATTTGCTTCACACATTGCGTCCATGTGTCGAATCGAACCCCGGTCTTCGGTGTGACAAGCGAACGCTTTAACTAGTAGGCTTCCCCACCGACCCTGACAGGGATGAAGCGAGTCACGCTGCGGCACTGGGCTTCCGGTGCCCCATATAACACTATATCAACATTGATTCAAATACGTTTTCACTTACATCGGGTCACATCGGTACCCACGTAAAACCAGTTGTCTTGTTTGACACCATGACGTCACTTTATAAATGACGTCATAGAAAGGTTTCTGGTCACGGTTTCGATAGTAAAATAAAGTAAAAATCAAACATGCTCATCGCCTGTACCCACGGGGTATGGCCAGGTGCATGATTATCACTTCAAGCTCATTGTTACGTCATCAGGAAACATTGTTGACGCCTTGTTTGACTGACGTCACTTTATAAATGACGTCATAGCTGAATTGCGACGTCATTCGACAATTGTGGTTTTCTTCGAGTGCGGTCGTGATACAAAAGGACCTCAAAACGTTTCGAAATAATAGATAATAAAGAAATCCTGACACTCATGTGTCTCGAGCTGATTTTACGACGATCTTGAAAAGTGGTAATGCATAACCTTCGCTCTCGTTCGGGACAATGGGGTAGGCTAGTGGTTATAGCGAAGACCCGGGTACAACGTGTGAAGACGATTTCTGGTGTATCCCTCTGTGATATTGCTGGAATATTGCTAAAAGTGGCGTAAAACTGAACTCACTCACTCTCGCTCGGGAAATAACATTCTGACACTTACTATGTATTTCGCAGGGCGGTATGGCATGTTTTGAGTTAAATGACAAATAAGAGTGCAGCATTCTGTATACGTAATACCCGGTTCATGTTAAATTTGGTTTGCTCAATTCACGCAAAAGGTGGGTGTCCTTTTTAAAAGATTGTGGTAACTACTATACCACCTGCATGGCGGTTTCTATCATACACGCACCGCCCGTTTTCTACTGTTGCTGTTTTCTCCGGTTTCCCACTACTTGCTGATGAGGCTTCATGGCTCATTTCACTGCTGCAGGGTCTATTTGTACTAGCTATGTACAGAGTTGTGGGTGTAAATAGGAGTTGATTGGTAACTGTACCGAGAATTCAGGGACTTCACATTTTGTCAACAACTACCTGAGATAATTCAGTTTTGGAATATGTGCGGCACACAATAATTACCGTTATGTTATTAGCTGTTTTGTTTTCAATAAAAGAACAATCTCACAATATATTCACGACAGTTTGGAACCGGAGTACCGGTGACGAGTTATTTTGTTCACCATGTAATTATAATCAAATCAGAACAACGATTTAGAGTGAGTGAGTTTAGTTTTACGCCGCACCCAGCAATATTCCAGCTATATGTCGCCGGTCTGTGTCAACCAAGTCAGCGAGCCTGACCACCCCATCCCGTTAGTCGCCTCTTACGACAAGCATGGGTTACTGAAGGTTCATTCTAACCCGGACCTTCACGGGTCAACAACTTAGAGGACAGCAGGCGAAATTGATAGTCCAGTCAATCCATACAATATTTTTATGATCATCGTTTGCAGTGTTATAGTAGTTGCTTTATGAAGGTAAAAACTACAGAACTGTATACATGATGCAAACTAAATTTCCCTTGGGATAATAAAGAAATTATCTTATCTTAATTTAGTGCGGAACAGTTTGAAACATGAAACAAAACTGACTGATTTTGTGTGCAATCTTTCAAACATATCACCAAAATGGCTTGAACTGCAGTCGACCACTTTGTAGCATATCACCAAATCTTGGCAATGGCATTCTAGAACTGCAGTCGACCACTTTGTAGCTATATTATGTCGGGCAATAAATAATCAAATCTTGGCAATATAGCTTCTTTGATTGGCATTCTAGAAGTTGAGGATGTGAAACATGGGGACAATTTTATTGACATACAGCTTCTTTTTTCTGTATAAATAAAACCTTATGACCATGCAGCGAAGCTACTCATTAAACCCTATGACATTCTCATTAAACGACATTCCCTGGAAAGGAGTTAGTGAGTATGGTTTTATGCCGCTTTTAGCAATATTCCAGCTATATCACGGCGGGGGGACACCAGAAATGGGCTTCACACATTGTACCCATGTGGGGAATTGAACCCAGGTCTTCGTCGTGACGAGGGAACGCTTTAACCACTAGAGTACCCTACCGAAAGGAACCTCTGGCAGAATTCCTGCCGATTCAGAGTAAACTGAAGTCTTCAGTCATAAACCTGGGATTGTGCCAATGATTTTTCAAATATACGATTGTAAGAAACTTTGGAGAAAACTAGTTTTGTAAGAAAATATGTTCTTATTAATTTACTTAACGTGTATACTTACATCTCACGAATAATATCAATCAACTAATTAGATAACTTTTATGTATTAGAGAAATAGGTTTGAAACAATGCCAAAACTCTAACCAACCAAAATCATGGCCTTTTCATACATATATAAAAACAACCTGATTAACAAGAAAAAGGCAGGAATACAAATTCTCTTGTTTATTGTATGATTGTACGCCGCTTTTAGCAACATTAAAGCAATATCACAGCAGGGACACTAGAAATGGGCTTCACACATTGTACCCATGTGGGGAATCGAACCTGGGTCTTCAGCGTGACGAGCCAACGCTTTAACCATTATAGGCCACCACACCGCCCCTCCTTAGATCAGAACTAATGAACTTTCACTATATATAAGGGGAAGAGCATGGACACGTGTGACGTTCGTTGTTTAATATCGCACTCACCAATATTTCCATCTATATGGCGGCGGTCTGAAAACAATCGAACCTGCACCAGACAAACACCATAAACATATATCTACATATAGTATGACCAGAAATTATTGAGAATTTTAGGAATATGTTTAATTGGATTTCTAGTATAAACAACCTTGACCAGATATCAAGTGCTTGGTTTCATTCAAGAGAGACAACTCCGTTAACCCTTTTTCATTAGTTTGTGAAGAGTTATTCCTCTTTGTTTACTTGCTAGCAGACGACATTTTCAGTGATCCTCAGTATGGATGATTTAGAGAAGAGGAAGTTTATTTTAGAGTATTATAACAAGGGCATCAGATCAGCTAAAGTGATTTCAAGTAGAACAGGCATCCCTTGTCCACTGTTTATCGTGTTTTGAAAAATATTGCAAATGGATATGGCATTGAGCAGCAGGGAGGGGCAGGTAGGCGCAGGTAGGCCCAGAAAACTGACTGTCGGTGACAGGAGGCGGCTTGGTATTCTTTTTTTCTAAAAACAAACGAAAGAGTTTAGAAAACTTAAGGCTGGATATGATTGATAGAGGAACTGTGGCTGTCTGTAAGGAGACAATTAGAACTGAGCTGCATGCAATGGGTTGGCAGAAAAGTCGATGAATTCCATCACCGATCATGAAACCTGAACAAAAGGAGCGAAGGTTGAACTGGTGCTTACAGCAGAGAAATTTTAACTGGGACAATGTGATTTTCTCAGATGAAAGTTCTGTGTGGCTGTTTCCTAATACACTGAAATTCTGAATCAAAAACTGAAAAACCTTTGTATCAGCGCCCAAAGTACAGTCCGAAATTTAACGTGTGGGGTGGCATATCTGTGTTAGGGGCAACGCCCCTCTGTGTATTTGAAGGGAATATGAACAGTGAGCGGTACACAGATATTCTCGAGGGACATTTACTTCCATCTGCTCACGTGTTCTATGGAAATTTTGGATTTTCCAGCAGGACAACGACCCAAAACATCGTTCAAAGCATTCACAGGCCTGGTTTCGGACCCAAAATATGACATTATTAGATTGGCCAAGCTATAGCCCTGACCTAAATCCAATAGAAAATGTTTGGGGACTTCAGAAGGAAAGTGTCAATAAGAAAAATCTGACAAATATTGTTGAAATGAAAGAAGAGGTGGTCCGATATTGGGACAGCATGGACCACGACTTTCTAACTTCTTTGATCAGTAGTATGCTCCGCCGCATTGAAGCCTGCATTGCTTCCCATGGTGACTTGACAAAATACTAACTGTTCACCTGTGTTTGAATCTGGAGTTATGTTCTGCTAATATTCACATTTAATACGTGAGTAATGAGTGAAAAAAATATAAAAAATTACAATCTTTAAATTCTCAATAATTTCTGGTTGTACTGTAACTGGACTACAATGGACACCTGTTACGACGGAAACACCTGTGTAACCGTGCGATGTCGGTACACCCGATCATTTAACTTTATGTGTTTAGGAAAAGAAACCAAAATATTTAATGTCTGCTGAAGGATGAGCGATATCTTTAAAGGTTGAAGTAATTCGGGACCGTCATCTTCACTACAGAGTGGGCGCTATGTTTACATTTTATGTACGCTTCATGTTATTTTTTCAGCTTGTTCGTCGACGAAATCGCTCAATGAAGACGATTCGTCTCTCTCTGAAATTATCTAGTGCCTGTTTACATTAATCTTTTTCCTTGTTAAGACATTTAATGTCACCCACGTACCGGTAGTTCTTCTGTCCGTTGTCCAGGCCTAGGTTAATCAGTCATTGGACAAGCTCTGTTGTGGGTTCCAATATTGCTGTTATGACATGGTGGCCTGTGATGACCGAGTCACGACCAGGCCAGCAAGGTGGTGAATGCAGTTTTGAACATTCCACGCAGACAGGTACAACACACTACTCAACCAAACTACCGCACACAATCCAGTCAAGTTCTGTATATTATTGTCAGGAAATACATTTGTGCAATCCCCCTACACCAATACTGACAGTGGCTACGACCATGCGATGATATACTCAGCTTGTACTACAAGCATTGATTGCTGGGAATCTACTCTCCAACACGCCAGTTGTGCAACTCTTACAGGTCGGAACAGAAAGGAATGTTGGTTGAAGCGCTCATAAAATCCCTTAAGTTGTAAAGCCAAGAACTACATCTACTCGGTAGAATTCACTTCTCAACATTTGCTAAGAACCATACCACATAACACCTGAGTAGTAATGGCTTCTATGCTTGTCAGCTGCCAAGAACATTGAGACTCATGTGGTTACAACGTGTGATCTATAAATGTAGTATAATCTTCCGTGGACAGCCTTCAATGGATCAGGTTATTTGCACTGGTATGTTGGCTCAGATTTAATTATGAAAGCTTTGCTATTACTGGAATAGTGAGCACTGTAGCACATAAACAAGATTCATTCACTCTCAACCTTTCCACAAGTTTTGCCGCGGAACTGGGTCAATAAATCTAAAACAAGTGTTTGCAACTGATGTGGCAATCTCCCCCGCCGCTAAAGAATGGAATATCTATATTTACTACTTTTTATTTTTGGGTCACATACAAGATGCCTGAAATGACTGGTGTCTGCATAATCACCCAATGTAGGCTGTCAACATACTTGAAAACATTGGGTGCAATGTTTTATGAGATATCGCCTTTAAAAAGCGGTCAAAGTATCGTGGTGACCTTGAAAATAAGGTCAAGGTCACCCAAATCGTCTGGTGTCTGCGTAATACCCAAATGTAAACTGTCACCAAATTTGAAGACATTGGGTACAACAGTTCATGAGATGCCGTGTTAAGAAGAGTTTGAAAAGTGTTCAAAGTGTCCAATTTGTCCAATCACGCTAACAAGAGTTTGAAAAGTGGTCAAAGTGTCGTGGTGACTTTGAAAATAAGGGCAAGGTCACCCAAATCGACTGGTGTCTGCCTAATCACCCAATGTATGCCGTCACCTAATTTGAAGACATTGGGTGCAACAGTTCATAAGATATCGTGTTAACAAGAATCGGAACGTATGTACGGACCCCACTGAATACATAGTCCCCCGTTCCGCGGTGCGGCGGGGGACAATTATTCACTTTCCATTGAGAATAACAAACTAAACGCACCTCTAGTGAATGTATATATTTATTTCATGTATCAAAATTGGACATAAAATCTTCTTCCTTCATCATATCCTGGAGGTCAAGGTCAGAGTCTGATTCGGCCGCCTCCATCAGTTCCTCCCCGTTCCCATCCTCCTCGTCCTTCACGTGTTTCCGCTTGTTCCGTGACATCGCCAGGATGAAGTCAAGGTGGTACTTGTTGTGATCACATCTGCAATTCAAATGTAAGGTGACAGAATGAGTTTTCAAATACAAGACATTAATCATACCAGGGACCCTATCCACAAAACGTTCACAGAGCTATGCCATTCCTAAACCTATAATATAGGATAGAGTTACCATAGGTTGTAAAGTTACGAGACATTATGCATGATGGCACTGTATGTTGCTATGGTGATTGTTTGGAGTTTGAATTCCAGTTTCATCCTGGCTCTGGTCTTAGGTTGGTCTGCCAACCCTGCATACCAGTGACAGTGGTTGAGTGGCTGAGCTGGTAAACGATCATTTGGTGAATGGGAGGAAGCCACAGGTTACAGCTATTTACCTTCTTTACATCCTTCACTGGTTTGGCGCTGACCATAAGTCACCCGGAATATCGGACATGAACCAATGCCGATGGATCCTATACATGACAAAGGGAGCAAACTCCACCACTGTCCATTTCATGCTATGGGCCCATAGACCAATCACATATACCTTCCACCACTGTTCAGGCTTTGTCTACCTCTGTCCATCATTCACCTGATGAAGGGGCAAGAAGTTGCCCAGAAACGTCGTGTTGTTAACAATAAAGAAGTTGTAAATCCATACGATACGTTGTTATGTTACGTACGAACTTCTAAATGCCCATCAAGCATTTACCTCTGTCTTACCCACTAACTTGCAAACAAAACATACAGACCCACACATAACCAATTACATATGAGCAGTGTCGCCCACTGTATGAGTATCTTACAGATAATTCCCTTATCCTTAAACAATAAATTATCATCCTCCATGAAAATAACAGCAAAGGCGTCACATTGGCCTATGTCAGGCCTTCACCTGTGTTGTCTTTACGGGGATTTACGCGAAATCAGAAGAATATAGTTTTAGCCAATACCATTGCTGACACTGCTCTTAGTATAATTTTCAGTATCTTTCAACATGTGTTGTCACTAATTCACGTCAATTGGATATAGAGAATACTTGATAAAACACTTGCAAAAACTTATCTTGTTTCTCAGTACTTACAGTTTTCCAACATCTTCGTACTTTCGTGTGACATTTTTCTGAAGGGTCCTCAGAGTAGCCATGACCTTTTGTGACCTTTGTTTGACCTTTGGCCCATGTATAAAAAGCAGACGCTGTATCCACGTGAGATAGAACTGGAGGTGAGCAGACACCTCTACCTGATTGGCTACATACCCAAGCAGACGGTCAACATACGTGTCTGGTAATGACTGGCAGATAACGTCAACTGCAAACGATGATTTATACTTCAGAAACAATACTGATAGGGCAGTTGGTACACATTTCAGTAGAGCAACAGTTCTGTGATAAGTCCGGGGAAAAGAGCAGTCAGTTACACATGTTAAATTCACCAAGAGGGCTTTATGTCACTTTCAACAAATGGCGATGGGGTAGCCTAGTGGTTAAAGCGTTTGCTCGTCACACTGAAGACCTGGGTTCGATTCCCCACATGGGTACAATGTTTGAAGCCCATTTCTGGTGTCCCCCGCCGTAATATTGCTGGAATATTGCTAAAAGCAGGGTAAAACTAAACCCACTCACTCACTCACTTTCAACAATAATCCAGCATTATAATGGAGGCTGAATATATAAATACAGAAGGAACAACTCTGAATATCATAACATTAAACTAACGTCATAAACACAACCTTTGAGAGTCAGATGAATGCTCATTTAAACATTACTGCAGTTACACGATAGTTCAAGTTTAAAGCTGAGAGTACCCTTTGGCTCCTCACGCATCACAACTTTCAGGACTTCGATATGAATTGAGAGGACTGAAAACATGTAACAATCATTCTTACTGTCATTGGGTGGAATGGATTCCATGACTTCCTGAATCAGATTCTGTTCATTCAGCCGAAAACTGAGTAGAAGGGCTTCAGAGTGATCTCCCTTTGCCAATGTCCTTCTGACACTAGCTGGTGTGATCTCTGTGTCCAGTTCATAGGGGTCAAACACGAGGTTGTGGTCAAGAGAGTAGACAAGGAGCCCTTCCGTCGATGTTGCTGCCCATGCACGCCCTGAATGTAAATAGTACATCAGGTACAATGATAAAGAGGACTGGTGCTGTGTTTTCATAAAATATATGATGAATGAAATTGAGTAAGAAAGAGTTTTTTCTTCTGATCCCTCATACTGTCGACATGTGTAAGAGATAGTGTGGTAATGATATATATGGTGGCAATGATATATTGAGTTGTAATGATATATTTGGTTGTAAGGATATCCATGGTAACAATGATATATTTGGTTGTGATGATATATTTGGTAGTAATGATATATTTCGCTGAAAGGATATGTTTGGTAGTAAAGACAAGCATTGTCACTACTTTGTCATGACTTTGTACATATCTTCTCTGTTACAGCATTCATAAAAAACACTAAACAGCATCATCTATAATCTGGCCAGTAAGTTTCACTGTCAGATGTCAGATCCGTCATCATAAACAATGCTAATGACTGCAGCAATGAAATATATTTGTTAAATTAATCAGCCTCACTACCCCAAGTGTTAGATTTAGTTACATATTTGGCCACAGGGTAGGTCCCGCTTCCGTTACATGCCCGAGGATGTCACTGAGGTAGTAATCCCTTTCATCATCACCACAAGCTGTAAACCTGTGTGAACAACCAGACCACTTCCTGGTTTAACCCTATAGGAGCTGAGTCCATCTACTGATTCACAACTATCCAGAATCCCTTTACTTTTACAGATTAGCATATTGAATAAAAGACAAGCATTGTCAGTAAGGTGACATAATCCCCCGCCGCAAATTATGAAATCAAACTTATTAAGTAATGAAAGTTGAAGATGAAGTTTAATGTCAACAAAAACATGACCAGTCAACCTCTCTTGATATCTTGCTCTAAAGTTGTTCAAACACACACGTTTTCAAGACTGACTTTGACCTTGACATTAATGTCATAGTGTATGAAATATGCACAAATAGTACTAAAGAAATTGCTTATTGAAAAACATTCAAGGGAAGTCTTGAAAGTCTATGAAGAAAATCCAGTGAACCGTTTTTGAAATATCTTGCCGACAATTTAGGTTAACAAGCTGAAATCTTCAAAGTGTCGTCGTGACCCTGAAAATTATGTGAAGGTCACCAAATTTGACTGGGACCTGGGCCTTCCCTAGATGAAGCTTGGTGTCAAATATGAAGAAAATCCAGTGAATATTTTTTGCGATATCTTGATGACTATCTTAACATGCTGAAATCTTCAAAGTGTCTCTGTGACCTTGAAAATACAGTGAAGGTCACCAAAATCAACTGGGCCCTGCGCCTTCCCTGGATGAAACTTGGTATCAAATATGAAGCAAAATCCAGTGAACGGTTCTTGAGATAGCTTAACATGCAGGTAAAACGTTAAAGTCCCCTTGTGACCTTGAAATGAAGGTCAAGGGATAATAACATTAAATCAAAACAAGTTCAGAGAGATAGGGTCGTTATCAATATTAATCACCTACCTGTGGGAGAGAATCTGACTGTGGAGACCCGGACCTCTGGTTTGAAGTGTCGTGAACTCATATCCCCCTTACGGACCCCCGGGAGGGCAATCTGCTGCCCCTCCTCACTCTCCACCATCGCTATGTTTCCCCACTCGGTCATCTTACGCCGGTCTAGGAACTCCTACAGGAAGTAGAAATCTCAAGGTTGAAGTATCAGAAGACAATGTTGATCGTGCCCTGCCTCATAGCATACATGACAAAACAAAGATGACGACTTTGAGATTTATTTACGCTTTCCAACATGATCCATTTTTCGCACACAGTAACTTAACAAATCAGGTGCGAGGTAGTAATTGATATGATCTTTACGACCAACTGTGTGAATTAAGTTATACAAGAGTCATCAGAAGATGACATATCCCCCCGGCCCCCACATCTTTGAAAGAACAAATCATCTGACAGTTACTTAAAGTCCAGCTTGATTTTAGACTAAGTGCAAATCGTTTCCATGGAAATCATGAAAAAAATAAATGACAAAAAATCTGCAAATAGCAAAAGGCACCACTTTGGGATCTGCCTCACATATCTGCCAAGTTTTGCTGAAAGATATTAAGAAGTTTTCAAGCAGTGCTCGAAACAAAACCCATCCCTTCCTTTTGAGACTAAGTTCGAATCATTTCCATGGAAACCGAGAAAATAATAAATCACAAATATCTGCAAATAGCAAAAGGCATCACTTCAATATCTGCCTCACATATCTGCCAAGTTTTGCTGAAAGATATAGAGAGGTTTTTGAGTTGTGCTCCTCGAAACGGCCCACCCCTCACTTTTGGGATTAAGTCCGAATCGTTTCCATGGAAACCGGAAAATAAAATGCCAAAAATCTGCAACAGCAAAAGGCACAACTTTAGGATCTGTTTGATATATCTATCAAGTTTTGTTGAAAAATATTAAATGGTTCTTGAGTTATGCTCCGAAACGAAAGCAATCCCTTACTTTTTGAGACTAAGTCCAAAATGTTTCCATGGAAACCAAGAAAAATAAAATGCCAAAAATCGGCAAATAGCAAAAGGCACAACTTTAGGATCTGTTTCATACATATCTACCAAGTTTTGTTGAAAAATATTGAACAGTTCTTGAGTTGTGCCCCGGAAACGAAGCCCACCCTCACTTTTTGGGACTAAGTCCAAATCGTTTCCATGGAAACCGGGAAAAATAAAAATGCCAAAAATCGGCAAATAGCAAAAGGCACCACTTAAGGTTCTGTTTGATATATCTACCAAGTCTTGTTGAAAAATATTGAACGGTTCTTGAGTTATGCTCTGGAAACGAAGCCCACCCCTCACTTTTGGGACTAAGTCCGAATCGTTTCCATGGAAACCGGGAAAAATAAAAATGCCAAAAATCGGCAAATAGCAAAAGGCACCACTTAAGGTTCTGTTTGATATATCTACCAAGTCTTGTTGAAAAATATTGAACGGTTCTTGAGTTATGCTCTGGAAACGAAGCCCACCCCTCACTTTTGGGACTAAGTCCGAATCGCTTCCATGGAAACCGGAAAAATAAAATGCCAAAAATCTGCAAATAGCAAAAGGCACCACTTAAGGTTCTGTTTGATATATCTACCAAGTCTTGTTGAAAAATATTGAACGGTTCTTGAGTTATGCTCTCGAAACGAAGCCCACCCCTCACTTTTGGGACTAAGTCCGAATCGCTTCCATGGAAACCGGGAAAATAAAATGCCAAAAATCTGCAAATAGCAAAAGGCACAACTTTAGGATCTGTTTGATATATCTACCAAGTTTTGTTGAAAATATTGAATGGTTCTTGAGTTATGCTCCGAAACGAAAAGCAATCCTTACTTTTGAGACTAAGTTCAAAATGTTTCCATGGAAACCAAGAAAATAAAATGCCAAAAATCGGCAATAGCAAAAGGCACAACTTTAGGATCTGTTTCATACATCTACCAAGTTTTGTTGAAAATATTGAACGGTTCTTGAGTTATGCTCCGAAACGAAGCCCACCCTCACTTTGGGACTAAGTCCAAATCGTTTCCATGGAAACCGGGAAAAATAAAAATGCCAAAAATCTGTGAAATGCAAAAGGCACCACTTTAGGATCTGTTTGATATATCTACCAAGTTTTGTTGAAAAATATTGAACGGTTCTTGAGTTATGCTCCGGAAACGAAGCCCACCCTTCTTTAAGACTAAGTCCAAAACGTTTCCATGGAAACCGAGAAAAATAAAAATGACAATTATCTGTAAATAGCAAAAGGCACCACCTTAGGTTATTTTTGACATATCTACCAATTTTGGTTAAAAAATATCGAACGGTCTTTGAGTTATGGTCCGGAAACAAAATGATTACGGACGGACGGACGGACGGACGGACGGACGGACGGACAGACGGACAGACGGACGAGGCGACCACTATATCCCACCGCATTATATGCCGGTGGGATAATAATTACAAATGTACAACTTAAAGAAAACTGACTGAGAAAAGTAGAGACGTCAAGTTATTTGTTTCAAGAGGACTTATCTTACCCACCATTGGCTGAAATACTGCCAATGTGACTTAAAATTTTAACTCACTCGATCACTTATCTGTACTGAATACATTAAACAGATCATTATTCAACAGAAGTAATGTTAAGAGATTAGTGATGGATCTTGCAACCTGCCAACATGAAGGATACGGAAAGACTCGGTAACAGGTCATCAATGTTGACCAAACATTGATGTACCACCAGATACATGCCTTCATGCTCAACCCGTGAAGATCCGGGTTAGAATTGGTCTTCAGTAACCCATGCGTGTCGTGAGAGGCGACTAGCAGGATCGGGTGGTCAGGCTCGCTGACTTGGTGGATACATGTCATCATACACCAACTGCATAGATCGTTGATCACTGGATTGTCTGGTCCAGACTCGATTATTTACAGACCGCTGCCATATAGCTGGAATATTGCTGAGTGCGCGGTAAAAGTAAACTCGCTCACTCCCACTTCATGCTGCCTACCTCCATCCCATCAAAGGACATGTTGCAGGAGATCTCAAACTTCTTCATCAGTAGACGATCTGGGACGGAGTAGATACAGACGAACTTTGACCTGCCTGCAGCCAGGAGACAGTTGCCGTCGGCGCTGTAGCAGATCGTTGTGAAGGCCCTGAAACAAGCCAGCCAGATGATGGGATTAGTGGCTTTTAGGAACTGGAGTAAAATATTTCATAGTTTGACTCCACTCCAAGATCCACTTCACCCAACCTGGTTACCTTGCATGTGTTTTAAGTCAGTAGGTCAGTCTGGAATCAGTGCCTCATCAATATACAGGACATCATGCAGCCATAACCACAGCAACATTACATATATTTGCCAGCAATGGTCATTGGGTGAGTGAGTTTAGTTTTATGCTGCACTCCGCAATATTCCAGCTGTAAATAATCGAGTCTGGACCAGACTGTCTAGACCGTATCTTCACAGGTCAGTGGTCACTGGAAACTGTACTAATTCAGCCAAATCAAACCTACAACACCTGCATAACGTACACAGTGGCTACCGACTCTAATGGTCTATAGGTGTACTCTAGTATCAGCAAATACACTGATTAACACAAACATGTAACAGGTAGCTTTTAAACAGATTTTTTGGGTTTAAAATAACGAGAATTCTATAAATGCTGTTACACACCATTTACATAAAGGTATTAAATTGTTGAAAAAAATTGTCGGCAATAGTTATATTTTCTATAAACTATTCAGCTACACTTAGGATAAAAAGTGAAGGTTTACATACTGCATCAAATGTGTTTTGCATTACACTGAAATATACACCCAGACACTCAATCTCTGTTTTAGAGAACCTGGGACAGATATAAACCTTGCCATCTTCTTGGAATGATTAAGTTTAGTTTTACGTTGCTTATTAGCAACATTCCAGCAATATCACGGCGTGGGACACCAGAAATGGGCTTCACACATTGTGCCCATGTGGGGAATCGAACCCGGGTCTTCGACTTAATGAGCGAACGCTTTAACCACTAGGCTACCCTACCACCTACATCTTGGACCAACTGATGAAGAACTTACTTTCCAGCTGCTGACTTCTTAGCTGTTATTTTGTCCATCTCCTTCCTCGAATACCCGACATCATGCTTGCCCTCGATGGCGCCGACCTGGGTTCCCGTGTCTGGATTCCACAGAGTAATGGTGGCATCCAGGCTGGCAACAGCCAACTCATTGCCATCAGGGCGGAATGCAACAGCCAGAACTGGTGACAGAACAACACGATGAGAATGTTAGAAGAGTATGTGACATGTCATCACACCATAACTAATGTCATGCAGCTATTCAGGGTAGTCCGCATATTCCTGCATATACAATGAAAAGTTCACAGCAACGTAACATTTTAATAAACAGTTTATGAGCTAAATCAAAATTGTTGCCCCAGAAACACATATTAGATAACCTCACTTACCATCTGTGGGCAGTCCATAGGATTCCTTGGCTGATTTGTTCTCAAACACATCCCATACTTTGATAGTTTTGTCCCATGATGCACTGGCCAAGATGGCTCTTGCTGGGCTGAAACTGAGGCTGCTGATTGGTCCTTCGTGTCCAGTCAGTATCTGCAACACATCAATGTAACATCCTCCATACATTCAAAACACATCATAGTCTTGTATTGGAACACTATAAACTTCTTTCTCATTTTCATCAATAATAAAGCTCTTAAAAAGTATGTGCATTGAATGTGCTACAATGACTCCCAGGAAGTTACAGAACACAGCAATCAGAAGTCTATGTTGCAAAACTCACCAGCTATGACATATAGTCACTTGGAGTAATCAGGCATTCTTTTACTTCACATTTCAGCTATCAGTTCAGTTATTGGTATCCCAGTAACCGAGTGTTATTTAAATTTGGTTTGTCATACAGACCCTGAAACAAGTATAGCCAAGATAGCCAATGTAAGTCTCTGATAGCTAGTCAGAGATAATTAGACCATTTTATCCAGCAATAGTCAGGGATCATTAGACCATTTATCCAGAGATCATTAGACCATTTTATCCAGCAGTAGTCAGAGATCATTAGACCATTTTATCCAGCAATAGTCAGGGATCATTAGACCATTTATCCAGAGATCATTAGACCATTTAATCCAGCAATAGTCAGAGATCATTAGACCATTTATCCAGAGATCATTAGACCATTTAATCCAGCAATAGTCAGAGATCATTAGACCATTTATCCAGAGATCATTAGACCATGTTATCCAGCAATAATCAGAGATCATTAGACCATTTTATCCAGCAATAGTCAGAGATCATTAGACCATTTTACCCAGCAATAGTCAGGGATCATTAGACCATATTATCCAGCAATAGTCAGGGATCATTAGACCATTTTATCCAGCAATAGTCAGAGATCATTAGACCATTTTATCCAGCAATAGTCAGAGATCATTAGACCATTTTATCCAGCAATAGTCAGGAATCATTAGACCAATTATTCAGAGATCATTAGACCATGTTATCCAGCAATAGTCACAGATCATTAGACCATTTTATCCAGCAATAGTCACAGATCATTAGACCATTCTATCCAGCAATACTCAGAGATCATTAGACCATTTTATCCAGCAATACTCACGAGATCATTAGACCATTTTATCCAGCAATAGTCAGGGATCATTAGACCATATTATCCAGCAATAGTCAGGGATCATTAGACCATTTTATCCAGCAATAGTCAGGGATCATTAGACCATTTTATCCAGCAATAGTAAGAGATCATTAGACCATTTTATCCAGCAATAGTCACAGATCATTAGACCATTTATCCAGCAATAGTCAGGGATCATTAGACCATGTTATCCAGCAATAGTCAGGGGTCATTAGACCATGTCATCCAGCAATAGTCAGGGATCATTAGACCATGTTATCCAGCAATACTCACGAGATCATTAGACCATGTTATCCAGCAATAGTCAGGGGTCATTAGACCATGTCATCCAGCAATAGTCAGGGATCATTAGACCATGTTATCCAGCAATACTCACGAGATCATTAGACCATGTTATCCAGCAATAGTCAGGGGTCATTAGACCATGTCATCCAGCAATAGTCAGGATCATTAGACCATGTTATCCAGCAATACTCACGAGATCATTAGACCATGTTATCCAGCAATAGTCAGGGGTCATTAGACCATGTCATCCAGCAATAGTCAGGGATCATTAGACCATGTTATCCAGCAATAGTCAGGGATCATTAGACCATGTTATCCAGCAATAGCCAGGGATCATCAGACCATGTTATCCAGCAATACTCACGAGATCATTAGACCATTTTATCCAGCAATACTCACGAGATCATTAGACCATTTTATCCAGCAATAGTCAGGGATCATTAGACCATGTTATGCAGCAATAGTCAGAGATTATTAGACCATGTTATCCAGCAATAGTCAGAGATTATTAGACCATGTTATCCAGCAATAGTCAGGGATCATTAGACCATTTTATCCAGCAATACTCACGAGATCATTAGACCATTCTATCCAGCAATACTCACGAGATCATTAGACCATTTTATCCAGCAATACTCACGAGATCATTAGACCATTTAATCCAGCAATAGTCAGAGATCATTAGACCATTTATCCCGCAACAGTTAGGGATTATTAGACCATTATCAAGCAACAGAAGGTATTGCTAGGCCATGTTATCTAGCAATAGTCAGGGATCAATCAACTCATGACTTCATTTTCAGATGGATGAGTATTCATACAGGCTGTCAGACGACAAAGGGAGAGGGAAATATCTCACATGCAACAGTGGTTTGTAACCTTTACGAAAAAGACACTTGATGTTACTGGTTTGATTGTCCTTGCCCTCTTATCAGATGTCTCCAACAAAGTGTAACAAACCTCTAGTAGCCTGCCAGTCTGCATGGACCACACAAATATCTCAAACACATCAACACCGCCGCACACACTACTTCCCCACTGCTGTCTGTCGCTAGGCAGGAAAACTGTACAGGACGTGGTGATGCGAATGTTCTGAAGTTGCGATATCTGAAAAACACCAAATGTCAATGGTAACGTACACAGCAAGATGTAGAATATGTGTAAGAAACTACAACCAAATATATCCACACCACAAAAACAATGTTAGTAATATTCCAGCTGTCCACAACTACTTTATGAGACTAAGTCCAAATTGTTGCATGGAAACCGAGGAAAATAAAATTGACAAAAATCCAAAATAACAAAGGGCACCACTTTGGGATCTGTCTCATATATCTGCCAAGTATTTTCTGAAAGATATTGAAAGGTTTTCGAGTTGTGCTCCGGAAATAAAACCCACCCCTCCCTATTGGAGACATCAACATTTCACAAAACACTGCATATAGTTTTGGCTTCCTGAAAGCAGTCATAACCCACCTGTTGAGGTCGAAGGCTCGGACGGTGCCATCGAGTGATGCTGACAACACCACCTTGCCATTTTGACTGAATGTGACGTCAGTGATTCCCCCAAGGTGCTCGCTGAACGTTACGAAACAAAACCCGCTGCTGGTGTTCCAAACTTTCACCTTACAAATCGAAAATAGTCAGCGTCATAAATGATGTCATTACACAGCAAAAGGCATTTACTATCCAAAACAGGCTTCCACAAATAATATCACGTCTGTGAGGTAACACGATATCTCCTATACAGCTGTATAAAAATGAATCACAATGTCTTGCAGACCATTGTGATGTCATCAGTTACCATGACAGCACAATCAAATGACATGGTTTGCTTTTCTGTTTACACACAAGACACTGTTTGTTACTGTTCACAAGCTGAAATGAAACAAGAGTCATCAGAAGAGGACAAATCCCCCTGGCCCCCACAAATTTGAAAGAACAAATTATCTGACAGTTACTTAAAGTCCAACTTGACTTTTTATTACTAAATCCAAATCATTTCCATGGAAATCATGAAAAATTAAAATGCCCAAAATCCGCAAACAGCCAAAGGGATCACTTTGGTATCTGTCTTATATCTGCAAGTTATTGAAAGGTTTTCGAGTTGTGCTCTGGAAATGAAGCCAACCCGTCCATTTTGAGACTAAGTCCAAATTGTTTCCATTGCAACCGAGAAAAAAACACCTGCCTAATATTTGCAAATAGCAAAAGGCACCACTTTAGGTTCTGTTTGATATTCATACAAATTTTTGTTGAAAAATATTGAATGCTTTATTTAGTTATGCTCTGGAAACGAAATGATTATGGACGGACGGACAAGATGTTGACCATATCCCCCCGCATTACATACTGGGGGTATAAAACTGGAAGAATATTTTTGGATGATAAGGCTGATATATTTGATGCTCAAGTTATGTTTGTGTTGGTATGCATGTGTGCAGGTGCTATACCTTCCCATCATCCCCTCCTGTGGCGATGTGTTGTCCGTCTGGGGAGTAAGCGAGACAATCCATGTTGTTGAAGTGGCCCTGCTGTTTCAGGACGTATGTTTCACTCTGCCATTCCCACACCAGCAACTGCCCCAATCCAGAACACGCCAGCTCAATCCAGTCACCACTGGAGTTTATTGATATGGAGGCAATACTTTGGTCAGAAATACTGGAACAAACAGGCAACCATGACAGCACTGGAACCACTGGCTGTTGAATTTATTTTTAAAGGCAAAAGGAAATATGAACCTGTGCATATTTAATGAATCTTCCTTACCAAACAGGAGTGCCAGGACACGCCTGTATGATTCATCTGACTCACAAAGAAGCCTCACTTTCATGTCACAATTTCAAATCTATTTCCCTGTTTTCTTGGGGTTCAAAAATGCTTTAATGAAATTCTAAATGATGCTGAACTGGATAAACATACTTGAGAGAGTGTATCATGCTGAACTCCGGCATTTCATGGAGGTAGAATGATCCATCTTGGAAACCGGTGACAAGGATGTGAGTATCTGGGTGGAAAGCAGCAGACGTCAGTTTGGTCATGGAGCCATCAGGCTTCTGCTGATCTTTGATGTTATGTCTGAACAGAGAGAGAAATTGGGTTACAGTCAAAGACTTTGTCATTGTAAAATCTATTTCTAGAATTATACATCGTGGTATAGAGAGTGGATGTTTAACACTGACATCAGCAACACTTCAGCCACACTTGTGTATAGGACAAGCAAACGAGCATGATCCTACGATAGAAGGCATTCTGAGATCCAGGAGCCTTTTCTCTCCACTGGGGGCTGTCTAGATGAACATGACAGACCAGAAATTGACATTTGTAAAGTAAGTTATCGGAGTTCAACGTACAAATAATTTTATCATCACAATATCCTCTTCGGAATAATATCTTACAGGGGACTGTGAGGTTGAAGGTGAAGGTGAAGGTGAAGGTGAAGGTGAAGGTGAAGGTGAAGGTGAAGGTGAAGGTGAATGACGGTGACTGACTGACTGAGTTTGGTTTTATGCCGCTTTTAGCAATATTCCAGCTACATCATGGCGGGGGAACTCCAGAAATGGGCTTCACACATTGTACCCATGTGGGGATTGAACCGGGTCTTCCATAGCTTGGCTTTAACCACTAGGCTACCCACCGCCCCCCGTGAAGGTGAAGGTGAAAGGTGAAAGGTGAAAGGTGAATTGAGTGCATCAGTACATCATTCATTACTATAACAAACTGTCAAACTTACTTGGCCAACTGTTTGTAGTGGATTTTCTTCCTTACTCTTGCCTCTGAGGTGTCTTGCTTTTTCCTGGCTTCTGTAAACATACCAGGCAGATCCTGACAACATGTACATGATCACAATGCCCTGGTTTCAACTCAACGGGAACATAAGAGCCATGGAAAGTCTCTACTATCTATCATGAATACAAAGATGCAAGAACTGATTGTGGCTGAGTGAGTGAGTGAGTGAGTGAGTGAGTGAGTGAGTGAGAGTGAGAGTGAGTGAGTGAGTGAGTGAGTGAGTGAGTGAGTTTAGTTTAGTCTTACGCTGCACTCAGCAATATTCCAGCTATATGGCGGAGGTCTGTGGCTGAGGAACCTGCCACATTTGAGCGATCATTATCCTTAACGTAACAGATATGAATGAGCTGTTTGATGCATGAATATCTTTCGTAAAGAATTATTATTTTTCTCAACCCTCCAAAACAGGAATCTACAAACACGTAATGTCAAAATAGAAAATATAGCAAGACTTTGCTTACGAAGAGTGTTCTAAGACATAAAAAAGCAACATTTTGATCAAGCTGATCTCTCAGGCCATGTGATTACTTCCTTATCAATATACAAGTGATGATCTTACTTCTCAGCTGTTCCCCCCAAATTTCTTCTCCTGGTTCGTCTGATTCACTTTCCCACTGTTCGGCATCTGTCACTTCTGGCTTGTATGGCTCAAGGTCATCCAGTTTTGTGTCACACGTCCATACAACAAGGCGACCATTTTGGCCTAAAGAGTATATCTGGGAGAGTTCAGGAAAGACAGAGTACCAGCAGAATATTCCCTAGGTGAAGAATTCTTAGCTAAGGAGTCAAGCTTGGGCTACTGGGGACCTAACCTGCCCTGAAATCAACAGGGAGACAAGCTTGGGCTACTGGGGACCTAACCTGCCCTGAAGTCAACAGGGAGACAAGCTTGGGCTACTGGGGACCTTACCTGCCCTGAAATCAACAGGGAGACAAGCTAGGGCTACTGGGGACCTAACCTGCCCTGTAGTCAACAGGGAGACAAGCTAGGGCAACTGGGGACCTAAACTGCCCTGAAGTCAACAGGGAGACAAGCTTAGGCTACTGGGGACCTAACCTGCCCTGAAATCAACAGGGAGACAAGCTAGGGCTACTGGGGACCTAACCTGCCCTGAAGTCAACAGGGAGACAAGCTTAGGGCTACTGGGGACCTAACCTGCCCTGAAGTCAACAGGGAGACAAGCTTGGGCTACTGGGGACCTAACCTGCCCTGTAGTCAACAGGGAGACAAGCTTGGGCTACTGGGGACCTAACCTGCCCTGAAGTCAACAGGGAGACAAGCTTGGGCTACTGGGGACCTAACCTGCCCTGAAGTCAACAGGGAGACAAGCTAGGGCTACTGGGGACCTAACCTGCCCTGAAGTCAACAGGGAGACAAGCTAGGGCTACTGGGGACCTAACCTGCCCTGAAGTCAACAGGGAGACAAGCTTGGGCTACTGGGGACCTAACCTGCCCTGAAGTCAACAGGGAGACAAGCTAGGGCTACTGGGGACCTAACCTGCCCTGAAGTCAACAGGGAGACAAGCTAGGGCTACTGGGGACCTAACCTGCCCTGAAGTCAACAGGGAGACAAGCTAGGGCTACTGGGGACCTAACCTGCCCTGAAGTCAACAGGGAGACAAGCTAGGGCTACTGGGGACCTAACCTGCCCTGAAGTCAACAGGGGAGACAAGCTAGGGCTACTGGGGACCTAACCTGCCCTGAAGTCAACAGGGAGACAAGCTTGGGCTACTGGGGACCTAACCTGCCCTGAAGTCAACAGGGAGACAAGCTTGGGCTACTGGGGACCTAACCTGCCCTGAAGTCAACAGGGAGACAAGCTTGGGCTACTGGGGACCTAACCTGCCCTGAAGTCAACAGGGAGACAAGCTAGGGCTACTGGGGACCTAACCTGCCCTGAAGTCAACAGGGGAGACAAGCTAGGGCTACTGGGGACCTAACCTGCCCTGAAGTCAACAGGGAGACAAGCTTGGGCTACTGGGGACCTTACCTGCCCTGAAGTCAACAGGGAGACAAGCTTGGGCTACTGGGGACCTAACCTGCCCTGAAGTCAACAGGGAGACAAGCTTGGGCTACTGGGGACCTTACCTGCCCTGAAGTCAACAGGGAGACAAGCTTGGGCTACTGGGGACCTAACCTGCCCTGAAGTCAACAGGGAGACAAGCTTGGACTACTGGGGACCTAACCTGCCCTGAAGTCAACAGGGAGACAAGCTAGGGCTACTGGGGACCTAACCTGCCTGTCAAAGGAGCAAGATGAGCTTTACTCAGTGATAAATGATATCACCAACAGCAGCCAGACCTGGCCCATCATGTTCACTACTTACTACAACTCATGATGCTACAACTTTTATGGAACGACGAAACGGTGATCAAGCACCATGCAAAGGATACGTCCAGTGAGTTTTTCCCAAAGAAGGCGTTGACAATGACATCGGTGTGTCCTCCCATGGAATACACCACCAGGTTGGAGAACCTCTCCAGGCCATACACCCGTGTGTTCATGTCCTTACAGCCAGCACACAGCACTCTGGAACACATGGGCCAATCACATAATATCACCTCATATATACTGGAATTTCATTGGATAATGACATCCATATATCTTTCTTAAACTGGAAAAAAGATGGCATTATACTATACTCACTCGGAGGAGGAGGAGGCTAGTGAACATGGTATAACACAATTTTATGATCTAATCCTGTACCTCAGCAGTGATCAGACACTGTTTGAGAGCAGAGGCCCAGATAAGCTGCGTATCCGGGTAAAATATGCATTGAAAATTTCCAATTACGCATTGAAAAATTATTGTTGCGTACCAATTACGTATTTAAAATGTTAGATACGCAAAAAAAACAAATGTGTACGGAATATATTTATAAAAATCGCTTGCGTAATGAAAAACACATCGATTGCTATCAAGTTGTACTGTTAGTATAGGACTAGTGTCGACTGTCAGTATAGGATGAGGGATTTGTATCAATTGTATTATATTTAAGTTGGCCTTGATTAGGTATGACATAAGGCAGAACATACCCGCTTAGTAAACTTACTCAATGACATAATACTTAGGTGAGTAAAATGACTGAAATACACACATATTTGAAAGCAGTGGGTAACGGAAAATGAAATACCCACTCCAAAAAATTACAGTGGGTACAGTACCCACATGAGCTAAATCTTATCTGGAGCTCTGTGAGAGTGAGAGTAACAATGCATGCCATCAGGGTACAATATCTCATAATCAGTGACCATGAGCTGAGAGATGGTTGTACCTTGTGGTCGACGTCCCATCCAAACCTAACTACAGTGACCACAGCTCTGAAGACTTGTGATTGTTTATCACTTCACTCAAAATATTCCAGCTGTTGATGGTAGTAGGAGTAATATTGGAGCCTGGACCAGAAAATGGGTGAGGTGAGGTGACGTGAGGTGAGGTGAAATTGGGTTTAACGTCATGCTTGAGAATATTTCGCTCATATGATGACGTGCATGCGTGTATATGTGTATGTGCGCTGCTTGTACTAGCCCAGACTGAAGCTTGTTTTATAGTGCTAGCCCACTGAGATACCATGCCGTAGTGAAGCATGAATACCCCACTCAGACACATTATACTGACTCCGAGCCGACCAGTCCTTGTTGTACCCATTAATGCCGAACGCCAGGCAGGGACCAACAAGTACCATATTTTAACGTCTTTTGGTATGATGCGGCCAGGGATCGAACCCGCAACCTTCCGCTCTCCGAGCGGACGCTCTAACCACTAGACCACGGAGGTGGTCGGACCAGAAAATCCAGTGATTGACATCATGAGCATCTACCCATGTAATTAGGATCCGATGACATACATGAACCAAGTCACTGAGACTGACCACCCAATCCCATTAGCTGCCTCTTAAAACAACAACAATCTCCTTGTGACAAACATGGGTTGCTGAAGACCAATTCCAACTTGGAACTTTATAGGTTGGCATGGAATTATGAGTTACTTGGACCTCCATGAGATGTCTTGGAAGTATGGTCTACAGGGGACTTAATCACATGAGGAAGTACAACTAAATACAAATGAATAAGAAAGATACATATAACCAAAATACACACTCCATGTAATCTATTAAAACGTCTGAATGTATATGTTATGCTCATGATATTTGCTGAACTATCTACTACCCACCCCCCTGGTGCTGCTCAGTAATGTCTAGTCCTACCTTGAGTCGGAGCTCCAGGAGATACAGACATTATCATCATATGCACCAAAGAATGTTCTGTAGTGGACAAAGGGGTTGAACTCCCTCGTCTTCCCCGGAGCATGGAACACCAAGATGACACTGTCTCTCGTCACAGCAAACTTTCTGGAAGCAGATGGAATAAAACATAAAAATCTCTCTAGTGGAGAATACTGATTTAATTGTTTTGTTTGTTGTTTGTAAAATTCCCGTTATTATTTATTTATTTATTTATTTATTTAACGCTGCACTCAGCAATATCTCAGCCATATGGCGGGGGTCTGTAAACCATCCAGTCTGGAGCAGACAATCCAGTGATTGATATCATGAGCATCTATCTGTGCAACTGGGACCCCATGACAAGCAGGTCACTGTGTCCGACCACCTGACAACAAGAATGGGGTTATTGAACCTGGATTCATTATATTAACATTAGAGTTCCACCATGTCAGAAATATAACAGTGAACACAAAATTTGAACTAGTATCTAAACGTAAATATATACAAAAATAAAAAATTTTCAAAGCATTTGCTGAGATTCATTTGCATGTCAAAAGTACACATTACTTTTGCAACAGTGCTGCAGTCTAAACAAAATCAGATCTTAGTGCTTGATACTGCTAAACAAAAATCTCAGGACATCACATTGTGGGTGAAGTCAGAATGACCTTGAATCTGACCAATCAGAACATCTTTTACAAGATCATACACCTTTGAAAACCATACACAGGGTATCCAGAATGACCCCTAGAGGCTGGAGACTGATTCAGTCAAAACTGTCAATCACTCGCTTCACTGGGATGAATATTGGAAACAAAACTGACTTTCCTTTGGAAGAACTGCTGCATATGATCTCATCCATCTAGTGAACATTTCAGAATGTTCTTTAGATCACAATCAGTTCTTCAGATTTGAATCAACAACTTTGCCAAAATATTTTTAAAGGTTCATATGGAATGGAAGTCACCAGTTTGAAACTAGAGCCGTGTAGCTCCAGGAAGCTGCCTTCAAACTGGGTTGTGTTGCCTTCTTTGTCAGCCATTTTATTGGTCAGTCAAAGTTAAACAGAGGTTGTTCAGACGAGCCCCTATTTACATATCCTGAGATCTTTATTTAGTGTTATAAAGAACCAGGACTTTGATAGTGAGATTGGTTGTGCTGTTAATTTGTTCGAACTCAAGATGTGCTTACTTTCCATCAGGGCTGAACCTCACGTCATACACATGCTTGTGGAAGTGATATGTGGCCAGCACCGAACGACTGACTAGACTGCATAGAGTTGCCTCCCCTTCTGCAAAACCAAACTCAAATGTTAATAAGACCAAGCACTAATCTTGCAAATCAAATCAACTGATATATCACTGTGGAGTTTTATGGAGATAGTACACAAACATATCACAATGATATCTGTTTAATACCTCATCTCCACTTGCTGAACACTTTCAAAACATGAGGATGCAAGAGAAAGGCTTACATTATTTCTTCACAATAACATCTCAAACAAAGGGTTCAAAGACCATTCATGGTTTAGTCTATGTAGTGGCCATAATATTTCCGTGTCCTGTGCTCGTATTCGAACTACGGACTTTCTAATCTGAAGTCGGCGCCTTGTCCACATGACCAAAGAGGTTAACCCCGTCAGCAAGTTGACAAGGTAAGGATGTCATTTGTAGGATGACTCCACACCCTGCTACATCTATAAATGTTTATGTTTTATGCTTAATACAGTGACACAATATATACTGACTGTACTAAAAACTTAGTAATCATGAATGTTTTAGTGAGATTCTTTAAATGTGTATGAAACATCAAAAATATTTCAGCTCAAACACTTTTGTTTAGTATATGCTAAACATTTAAGCTGCAAGTGATGATCTGAACATGTTTAAGACACAGTGCTGGAGTACTCTGATATGACATAAAACAGTATGTTGTTTATTGTATGTTTACTATCTCAATACACTTGAGAAACATTGTGTGCATTCAAACTTTCATGTTACCTACCAACACAAGTCTCCCTACATGAATCAAATCAAGTTGATCTCCAAAGAAACCCTGGTAAATTCTCTATATATCCCATATTTGGCAAATGACAGAATTTCATTGCTTGTTTGATTATATGGAAATGTTTAGTAATCATACCATAGCCTGAGATAGTGTGTTGGGACAATGTGAACTGTGAACTTTAAAGGGTCACCAAATTTATGTGAGCGTTGGCCCCTGCCCTAAAATACTCAAGGAAAATACTTGAGTAACCTTGACTTCGAACTATAAAACCCCAAGACTGTAGACTAATTTAAGTCAATAATATCATTTGCTAACTTCACAAAGTAACTTCAACTGCATCAATTCTGATCTAACTTCCATGAAATCCAAAGCAGGAAATTCAAAATATCACACACTCCAACAAGATTGGTTGGGGTCAATGGTGAAATACTGTACAAGTTCCTGGTAATATTTAACATCTGCAATTCTTTGACTGTATATTAGTATTCAGCAGGGGTGGAAATAACCCATTGCCCGACGTCCGAGTCCAGTGTTTTTTCTGTCGGGCAAGCAAATTTGTATATCACACTGTACCGGTGTCCAGTTGACTTTCCAATGTTAATTATGTTGTTTATTTAAAAAATCAACAAAAAAACTGCCGGTACAGTGGAAAAATTATCAGGGCAAGTGATTTTACATGTGCCACTGTACCGGAGTTCACTAGCAATTTTAAAGTTATTTCCACCCCTGTATTCAACAAGACAGCAGTTTGTTGTACTGGACATTTTCACTCGTAGGTGAGCAGCAGTTTGCTTGTAATTATAAGAGTATTTGTCAAGATTACCAAGAATGATCACCTTACATAACTTGACATCGGTCATAACTGCTTGCTCACATTGTGTAAAAACCTGACTGAAAACAACATGGCAAGCAGCACCATCTGAATCTAAAGCCATCAAAAACATTTACTGGAACATCAGTTACATGAACATCACTGCGTCCATCCATGTACAGTGAAGAAAGTATTACTTAATTAATGTTAGATAGGGACACTCATATTTGAGGATTTACGGTAGATGTCCCAGTTAGAGATGCTGAGATTACCTTCGTCTACCAGGATCATTGTAAAGCCATCTGGAGAGAGAGCCACGCACTGGATGTTCAACCGACATTCTATGGGCAAGGTTTCAGACTTGTTGCTGGAAGGAGAATTGAACTGAATTGAAAAACTTGAACTGTAATCTGTAACATCGAGGCGAGGCGAGGTGAGGCGGGTGAGGTGAGGTGAAATTGGGTTTTACGTCGTGCGTTTGAGAATATTTCGCTTTCATATGACGACGTGCATGCGTGAGTATGTGTGGCTGCTTGTACTAGCCCAGACTTAAGCTGGTTTTATAGTGCTAGCCCAATACGCAGTGAAGCATGAATACCCCACTCAGACACATTATACTGACTCCGAGCCGACCAGTCCTTGCTGTACCCATTAATGCCGAGCGACAGGCAGGGACCAACAAGTACCATATTTTAACGTGTTTTGGTATGACGCGGTCGGGGATCGAACCCTGTAACATCAAGTCAAAATACATAGTGAGTGAGTGAGTGAGACGACTTTGCCATCCATGGCCCCCCATGAAAACACAAATACAGAACTCTTCTTCAAAATATTTTCTCTTATAAGTGCTCTGCTCTTAGATTTTAAACAAACTTCCCAACAGACAAGTTCATCATCATCTGCAACAGTCAACTGCAGTACATTACATGACCCATGTCCCTTACATTTAATTCTTAATATTGGAACCTGATCATACTTTCTGAGGTCGAAGACGGTGACCCTGTTCCCCACCGGACTGACGACGCTGTTCCCATCTGGGGTGAAGGTCAAGTTTCCTCGCCGGTACACAGAACCAAGCAAGTTTGAAAACTGAAATACAACAAAGAGTAGAAAACTAAAGAAATGTACACATTGAAGTGAAAGCAAAGTGTCCAGACTGAACAATACGGTGATACAGTGTAGCATTGTGATACAAACAGGACTTTATTCAAAGTGAACATAACACATTTTTCTCTTGTAATTTTGTCATAAAGAACATTACATATGACTATAGTCTGATCGCGGTGAATACGTACTGATGAATTTAACTTTAAACAAAAATGTAAATCAAATAAAGAGAAATAAAGATTGCGAATCCTCATAATTTTACTTTGCCATTTCAAAATTTAAATCTCAGATTTTTATTCAACTTAGGATAAAAGTTGTTTAACAAACGATCATAGTTTCAAATCGGTATTATTGGTTTGTATTACAAGGGGGTATGCACATTAAATGAAACACCGAGAACAAGGAGGGTTGGTCTAAGTTAACGCTCATCACGTACCGCACGACGTGCATATTTGTTTCACTGTTCCAACTACTGCGCTTACCCCCTTGTAATACAAACCAATATAAGCGATTTGAAACAATGATCGTTTGTTAAACAACTTTTTTGAAGTTGAATAAAAATCTAAGATTTAATTTTTAAATTGGCAAGGTAGAATTATGAGGATTCGCAATCTTAATTTCACTGTATTCGATTTACAGTTTTGTTTAAAGTGAAAGTCACCGGTACGTTGTCACTGCAAACAGACTATACACAGGGTGTGATGGTTGATTGATACTTGGCTGATACTCAGTCTTCTCTTCTCTAGTAATCTCTACAACAATATCTGGTGACTGGTAACCTATGGTATCAACTTGCCGTCCAGGAAATCGCTATATGTATCGTATTGTGACCTCTGTATCGAGATACGTATCATATCGTGATTCACCTGTATCATGACATCCCTACTCTTAAGGTATCCAATCTGTCCAGTGTACTCGACTGTGCATCCAGCACACTGTATTACATAAATATAATTGTTTGGAAGCACAATTAACATTTTCATGGACATAGTTTTCTGTAAAAGAATTACATTGTAATACATGAGGGCATGTATCACATTAGTTATACACACAGATTTTAGAACATTACTGTGAGTTTGTGACTATCTTGTTTATTGCATCGTCTTTTATTCCACTAAAACGATTATATTCTAATAGGAAATCTGTCATTTGAATGAGTTTATATTGATCACAATCTAGACTAGATACTGTTGTGCAGACTCCATGAACTACCACGAAGGCATACTGCTTTCAGTTATTGCATTTATAATACCTGTTAAATATGTAAGTGCACTGAGAAATATGTTAAAATAATTAAAGCAAATAAGAGCACCATGGTGAAAATGTTAAATATTGAAATGAATTCCTGTAGGACCAAGTTTAGAAAAAACACAGACTATGTTACTGTTTTGGCAAGTTTCTATTTTGAAGATTTGCAATTGCATTATAATTGTTTGTACTTGAGTAAACAATACATAAACATACATTTAGATCTCAATAGTTATTAATCATGTATGAATATTATGAAAATCAATAAAACCACTTAATCAACAAGTATTACTGCACATATTGTAAGCTTTTCGATGTGTTCACTAGGGTACTCATGGAATGATCACAATATAAATCAACCGGCATATCCATTCATGCATATTACAATCACAAATAAGAAAGCTTATGTAACAAATCACACGTCGGTGGAAATAGACAGTTTATTTAATTCCGTGGCGATTGCGATATTCTGTACATCTAAGTTACGATGGCCGTAAATGTGTCAATTGTAAAGACTTCCTTATTTTCATAATCCCATTTGTCAATATCTCGGGAAGATATTTTAGAATGATCAACCACTTATACCTACCCTGTAGGCAAATTTCATCGTTATATATTCAGATTATCACCGGGCTATGACAAGCAGGTAAAACCTTACACATCCCCATGTGCTTTTCACAAGTTCCGTGCGCATAACATATCTGAAACGTTATCCCGATTTTCATTGGTGCGGTGTAATGTTATGAGCCAATGAAATTGTTTATAAGAACGGGCACCTGCTGACGATGTCACATGATCATATGACATATACATCATTCGCCATCTTGAAGCGTACTGAACGGGAGTGAGAGTGATTGCTTGGCTTGTTTGTCTTTTTCTGTCTGCAATAACACATTTTATACTCAACGAAATGGCCGAGGAATTCAGCGCCGACGCTCCCCCATATGCCTCATTCTTTGGAGTAATGGGAGTGACATCCGCAATGGCATTCTGTGGTAAGATGGTGCCTTTCGTCTTCAGAACTATCGATCACATTGAATATGTAATGTGGGGGACCTAGTTATCGGGGAAAATCGCCGGTTTCTAACATAAGGTTGACTCATGTGTCGATTGTATGAGTCTATTTGATTGTTAAGATGTTTCTAGCTGTTCACATTGAAGAATTTTGCTGTTTAAAAGTCACAGAGTCGTGTTCATAGAAAAATTAACGTAGTAGGTTGGAGTTCCGTGCTTTACGCCCAATCCGAAATAAATTATTTCATTATTCAGTGTAAAATGAATACACCCTTGTTCCTTATTCTGGTATATATATGGATACTGTTGAGGAATGTCTAACAGATTGTTTCAGTGTGATGTATTTATCAGGTTTTATCACTCGTTGAAACATAACGTGATGGTGCAGAAATCAACTGACATATTTCTAGATCACGTTGTGGAGGTGTCATGTGACCATTACTGACAGCGTTCAACTATCAAGGAATTCGAAACTTACGAAACCTTTTGCACACTTATTTTTACATAGTAGCTTTAGTTTAGTTTGTGTATATTTTTACTTTCTAGTCAAATCTTTTTCGTTCTTATTCACATTTTTCTTGATCTTCAAACTCAATATGTATAGGTTATACAACCCAACTTCAAGTGTAATGGTTTTAATATTGAGGTGAAATTTGGATCAGATTTGACAATTATGCTTACAGTATTTAAGTTAAAAGTAATTACATTCAGAATTCAGAAGTTAATTTAGATGAATCATATTCTATGCAGATTATTATTTCGTTTGAAGGTGTAAAGTGAAAATTTGAACTATACCCATTTGGATAACGTTTAAATTTAACTGAATACATTAAGCCTAGGGATTAGATTAAGGCTCATCCTTGTTTAAAATGATGTATTGATCTTGTGATAAGCCTTTCTGTAGGCTGGTCAGATAATTCTTGACAGAGTAAACAGGTATCTGTTGAAACTTGATTTGTACTCATTTCAATATTTCTACACTTGTGATTAGATAAGAAAGTGCAGTGTCTTTAAGAGAATGATATTATCTGTACTAGGCAACCAGGTATACCTGAGAATTTGTGATGGAGTGACCTGTATACTTAAACTCTGGGACAGACCCAAGGTTACCTTCAATATTTAAAGGACAAAACTTTGGGTTTTATTTGAGTTCTGTCAGTTTAATTAAATTCACATTATAGAAACTTTTACCAAGACAAAATAAATAGAAACACTAGTTTTGTATTCAGAATTAACATAATTATTGAATGCTCATAATAATATGCATTATTACTATTTAATGAAACAGCTTGTCTGTGGCCACATACAAGAAAACGTATATTATTTTAGCGTATATGTTTAGATTCCCAACATTGACTCCTCACTGAAAATGTAAACTGTGTAATGTATATGTGTGCATACACTGCAAAATGTATTAGAATTTTGTGTTGTGGCCATATGAATATTGATGAATATAAATTTGTCATACATTCTGACCTTGTTTATTGTGTATCTGAATAAGGCAGATGTGGTGTGTACATGGAAGGTTCAGGATATCCTGATCACTGAATAGGAAATTGAACTGACACTGTTCAGGATGTTAGTAAAGGTCACCTTAACAGTGAATGTGAGGGCTTGTCATCTTCATGTGGAGGAAAGAATGAAGTTATGCTGGTCATAGGCGTTCACTTCTAAAATATTCACTCATTTTTGTCCTTGGGAAGGCTCATGTGTGATCATCATTAAGGAAAACGTGTGTTTAGGAAATGGAATGGAAGTTTGACCCACCATTCAGTGAATAGTGAAATAACACTATCAAAAGTCAATGTTGGCTCTTTCAGTATTTGTGTAAGTTAGGAAAGACACTGCCTAATGCATGCATATATTTTGATTCTGAGACAGAATGCCAATAATTACCACGTTTGTTTTGAGATTTGACCAATGAAAGTGTCACCTGGTCGATAATGTGTATCCTGACAGCATGTATAGTTCTCATGATATCAATCTCAGGTTCATGTGGCCAAGACCTGATTATTTTAAGGTTGTAACTGAAATCTGGCTACAGCAGGTGCTATTTCTGCATTAAGACATCAAACTGTTCAGAAGAATACTTGGCACTATAAGCCAGAAAGATTATTATAAAGATCTTTGAAATGTTTCTTTCAATCTTTCAAACATTTACTGCTGGACTTTGAAAAGCGAAACAGGGCGGTGGGGTAGCCTAGTGGTTAAAGCGTTTACTCATCTCGTCGAAGACCAGTGTTTGATTCCCCACATGGGCACAATGTGTGAAGCCCATTTGTTGTGTCCCCTGCCGTAATATTCCTGGAATATTGCTAAAAACGGTGTAAAACCATACTCACCCACTCACTGAAAAGTGAAACGAAAAGTAGGAAGTGATATCACAAATCACATGTCAATATTCTTCTTAACTTCGTTTTTTCACCTTGTCTTCAGGGTGGATGTTTGTTTAGTGATCCTGATTGCTGATGTAATGTTATTGAATCTTCAGCTCTTGGTGCAGCCTATGGAACAGCCAAGTCTGGTACAGGTATTTCAGCAATGGCTGTGATGTGCCCAGAACTCATCATGAAGTCCGTCATTCCCGTTGTCATGGCTGGTATCATCGCTATCTACGGTTTGGTGGTGGCTGTTGTTATAACACAGAATATGACTGCCACAGGCTACACCCTTTTTAAGTAAGTACTGTCAACACTAGCTTGACGTGGTCAATTTGTATACACAATTTGTTCATACAAACATGAAATTTAATCGATCCCTTTAATAAATACTATGGTAGCTAACTTATGGTCATTCCCTAGTTACGAGTTCTGTCAAGGCTGGATTTCCCTCTGTCCTTGTGTTGTTGATATATTAAATCATGCTAATGCTTGACCAAAGTTTCATGGAGATCTACCCGTGAAGGTATGGGTTAGAATATTGATCTTCATTCAGTAACCCGTGCTTGTCGTAAGAGGCGACTAACGGGATCGAGTGGTCAGACTCGCTGACTTGGTTGACACATGTCATCAGTTCCCAATTGTGCAGATCCATGCTCATGCTGTTGATCACTGGATTGTCTGGTCCAGACTTGATTCTTTGCAGTCCGCCGTCATATAGCTGGAATACTGCTCAGTGCGGCGTAAAACTACACTCACTCACTCATTCATGGAGATCCTGATATACATTCTTAGTGTTCATACTTTAGATGAGGGCACCTTACAGGTAATACTAGATATAATACTCAAATGAAATTAAGGACAGACTATCATGGAACAATTGGGTGTTCCTTAACTCTTTTGGATAGTATATAGCTGAATGGAGTCAGAGGGGAGCTTAAGTGCTTGATAGTTTTTAGCTATAAGTCTATTAATAATTTACAAGGATTCATTCCCTTTTATCTTGTTTCCCATCAGTTTTGATGAGATCCAATGTAAAGACGCCTGTAAATGGTAGCTTAGAGATGCATGTCAAAGTATTTGTGTAATTCATAACAGATTTCTGGAAAATCTATAATGTATACCTTGCCATGCAGAACATCAGTAGATCCATTAATTACTTTACTTTGTTTCAATGAACCAAACAGTACATTATTGTGTTTATGACTGATTGGTGCCAGCAATCACCTCTTATAAGTGTTACAGTTCACATTTACATAGATAGGCAACTAGAGTTGTGATAAAGGAGTTGACAATAATTAAACTGAAACTGTTGAGGATTGATAATATACTGTCATGTGTTTTTAGACATCATGACGATTACAAGTAGTAATGTATTTTCTACATCTATACCTGTCTCATTTTTCAGGAGTTTCCTCCATCTTGGTGCTGGCTTAAGTGTAGGTCTCAGTGGATTAGCTGCTGGCTTTGCTATCGGCATTGTCGGCGATGCTGGTGTACGAGGAACAGCGCAACAGCCACGGTTGTTTGTAGGAATGATTCTCATCCTTATCTTCGCTGAGGTTTTGGGTCTGTATGGTTTGATCGTGGCTCTCATCCTCTCCGTCAAACAATCCTAAATCAACCGAGGACCAGTGACGGCAGCGAAACACCATTCCCGGCAGAGAAAGGAGAACAGTTGTAACCGTGGAAACATCCCTTCTTTTTCTTCTGCCGCGTTGCTCACTGACTTGTAGGCTCCAGTTGTGCGACTGAGGCAGACAAAGTTGTTCCAAATTGGGGGGAAATGAACAAATAATGCTGTAGATGGTTCCATTTTACTGCACACCTGGAAACAAGAGATCGTGTACAACCTGTATGTATATAGTGCAATGGCCGATCGTCCTAGTCGGTCTCCAGTCAGTCTGCGTGAAGTGACTGTGTATGTGTAAATGGTGAACTAGTGTGCATAAATCATAAGCACTGCTGGCTAGTACGTATCCCTGCATCTAGCTTGCATCCTACTGGAGTAGATTAATTTACGTTGCTACAGACAAGACAGTCAACAATGGGATGGGTTGTGTCTGACAGACTCGGTACTAGCGATAGTCAAAAGCTTCATATTTGCTCTGTAATATCCAGAAATCCCTTTATAACCGTTTCCACCTAGTACTGGGCCTGTCTCGATTTATGCACATATGGGTGTTAATTTGCTGCAACCATGAAGCCTGTATTTGATGCCATCGTCTGTACATTTTGCTTATTTTCAACCAACAACTGTGATCTTAGTTCTATTCCCCGATGAGTGTTTGTTTATTCATTATTACTTATGATAACCACTGGCTTTGTATTATTAGCTAACGTACACATCAGGAAAATATAAGGCATGGCTTCATCTTTCAAACATTGGTAAACATGTTTCCTCGGAAGCTAGGGGAAGGGAACAAACAGTCAAATTCTGAAGTTTAATTTCATCCACATTGCCAAATTCATCAACTGTTTAACCGATTTGAAATAATATTAGTGATTGCAGGGGTTCATAAGAATATGGTCATGAATGCAGAATTAGCTCATGGTGAATTTTTTGTGTGTACTTGATTTTTAGTCTTGTGGATTTAGAGTGATATTAACATGTGCAGACTTACTTCAAATACTGCTTAACGACTTCCCATCTTCTGTTTCTTGCTGTTAATACCATGCTACATTCCAGCTGTTGTGAGTACTAGGTAACCATAGCAACACTGTAACCGTAGCAAACTGTTCTTTACTAACTACTTTTCTCCCATCTTTATCATTTTATGGAAATTGTGTAGATATTTGTAACTTATAGACCCGACCGATATTGTTGTACTTTATCTCTTTAAAGACTTGTATAATATCAGGAACTGTTGACATGTGTAGATGCACAGTGGCAAGACAGCACAGCAGAGAATTTATAAGTTGATTTCATTGGCTGCTCAAAGTAGAATTTTCACCAATCAAAGTGGAATGTTGCTGTTCTGTGCAGAGGTTTATCAGATCTTGTAGATTCCATACTGTATGTGTAAACACATGTAAGTTGTTTCATTGTCATATTATGTATGAATAAAGCATATAACTGTCATTCCCACTTGTGTAGTGTGTTCCTGTCCGGAAATAGCATAGCACTGTCATCACAATCTATCACCTTGTGGTTAAAGCGTTCGCTCGTCACGCCGGAGACCCGGGTTCGATTCCCGACATGGGTACCCTAGTGTGAAGCCCATTTCTTGTGTTCCCTACCGTGATATTGCTAAAATATTGCTAAAGCGGCGTAAAACTAAACTCACTCACTCATTTGAGTAGGATGTATTACACCAGGTGAAGTTAGGCTAAATGACTGGTCCAGGTATTGAAGGAATGCGTTAGTCTTTACACTGACTATGCTTCTTGTAAGCAGGACCAAATAGTGTAGACGTCTACTTGTGAATAAGTAGTGTGAGGTTATGTTGACATAGCCCGCTGTTATTGTAGTACATATGGTGTTGAAGGCAACATTGTAAATACACATCCGTTTGTGTTTGAATTGGACATAAAACCGGTTTTGTTACAACTTTGTGGTCTGTGCAGGTTGCTGGTTGCACACTTTCTGCACCTCTGGGTGTGACCATCTTCAGTGTCGCATGTACACTGTGTGCAGTCAGTAAGGATGGCAACACTGGTTATTCTTTTGTGAGTCCCATACACTCATACCTCTGATGCAGCAACCACTCAATACTGAAGGCACTTGTTGATAAACGTCTACTTGACCTTGCTGCAGCTCTGGGAACATCCCATGGTCACCGGGTCAGGTGTGGGCTTGTCAAGACAGACCCCTTAACATTACTACTGCCTTTGTCACAGATTAGATCAGCCTTTGTTTACTCTGTTGACTGGATGTGGGTGTGTACATCTTTAGGCTTGACGATTCATGTAAACTAGATACTTAATGTTATTGTAAGAGAAGGTTGAGATATACCTTTCAGTTCTTGCTGGATACAAGTTGCAACTTTAATCTAATCGTAGGATATACTTTCAAGTTTGTACTTTAAGATAGTGATTTTTTTTAAAAATGATATCAAACAGGAAATATTTCTTTTTATGTTGATTGTTGAATGGGTTTATGAAGGGCATTGCTTGTTTTTTTTAAGCAAGAATCACTCAAATTTTAGAAATGACTCATGAAAGGCTGTGAGAGGTTTAAATATTTACATATATATAGTGCATTACCATTAAGTACTTTATGGGAAACCTTACAAACAAGTTAAAATGGTAAAGCATTTGTCTACCTAAACTGATCAACGCAACTATCTCGAGCCAAAGAAAAAAATAATAGGGTCAAATGTTTTAAGTAAAAGTTTAAAAAATGTGAACAATAAGGTAAGACCTTTGATATGGTATTAGTCTCTGTGAAGTTAGCAATGCTGCTTTTCTGCACTTTGATCCTATTAGCAGCCTCAGGCAAGCAGACTAGTGTCCTCGCTAAGGCTAAGGTATTGCAGTTGTGTGTCACCTGTCATAAGATGGTGTCATTGTCCTCACAGATATCTGATGTTGATTGTTGCTAATTGATCCATGACAATCATGTGACCAGGAAGTACAGCCACAGTACAGTTATTTCCCTGGGGGAATGATATGGAGAAGTGTGGGTTATTGCACCTGATAACTTAACGAGGTATTACCTGTATCATCACCTGGGAAGACTGCTTGTTAACTCATTGTTTTATTCCCTGCTTAATGAGTCTGGAACTTCCTGCACCAATTTAGACGGATCCTGTAAGCCAGCTGTATATGTTCATTTTGTAAAGAGTGAATTATGGCTTTGTATGCTGGTAGCTGTATACAATGGAGCTGGTAGACATATACTATGGATAGTTTTCTTTTGAAGTATTGTATAAGTCCGGGACAAACGAGAACAATAAAGTATCGTGTAGTTTTCTGGGGGCACTCTCACACACAGTTCTTTCAGGTGTACCTGAAAAGGCTCATTCCCACTTACCCAACTTGCTGGGGGGATTAAAAGAGATTAACAGTTACGGGTCAGTGATTGTGCAGGGTGATGTATAATATGTGATATGATGTTGATGTTGTATTAAGTTGTATAAATGGATAACTTGTATATATATAATTAATAAATACAAACATTGAATCAAACGTAGTAGCATTTTATCCCATTTGGCCCCGGATACTATTTCACAGGGAACCAAATAAGGGATTAAAGGGGATTATCACACCCCAGTGATTTCTTCTACTGAAACAATAGGAGTTGGGTAAGTGGGAAGATATGGGGTGGAATTGTTACCAGGTTTGCACCTTACCTATGCTCAGGTGTTTCGTCACGGCAGAACGTGTAAGACCTGCCCCAATTCAAGCTTTCCCATCACATCCAGATGAAATTGTGTGTAACTGACCTGATTAAAAACTTTAGTTATAAAGAACTCACAGTGGAGGGCAATGGGTATTTTTATGTTTTCAAGATTAATATGTTAAAGTCTTGTACTAAAACAATTAAAGAGGAGCAGTGGGGTAGTCTAATGGTTAAGGCGCTCGCTTGTCACACCGAAGACCTGGTTTCGATTCTCTACATGGGTACAATGTGTGAAGCCCATTTTTGGTGTCCCCCGCCGTGATGTTGCTGGAATGATGCTACAAGCAGCGTAAAACCAAACTCTATCCCTCACTCACTCTTGTACTAAATTGTTGTGTTCCTTAGTTGTCATTTTACTAATCCCCATGAGGGTGGTTTATAGCAGGTGCTTTCGGGACTGGGTGACTTTATCAGCGATGAAGGTAGGCAGGTAGCAGGAAAACATCAGACATATTCATGGACATGGACAGAGTGGAGTTTGTAAACATGTCAATATAATCATTTACCTGGCCTGGTGAGACTTTCCAGCTGACTGACTTTAACCTTAACAAACAAGGGCTCGAAAAAATATTGATGAGATCGAATTGAATTTGTAAGTAGGCCATACCAAGATACAATCAATATCAGTAGGCTGCCAAATCAGCCATCTGTAAGGGACTAACCATTTGGTATGCTTGGAGAGGTGTGGGGTGGTATTTTATCCTCCCAAAATATTGTCCAATAAGAAGCTTGAAAGTAGCTATCCTTCAGATTGTTCAAAGGAAAGGAAATTGTCAGCCACAAGTGAACAATTGTTGCCAGTAGTTTTTTTTAAAAACATAAATTTTGAATCACATAAAAATGCCAGATCTCCCTCCTGAATGGTCGGTTCCATGGTCAGCTCCGATGATGTCCAGTTTATTGAACAGGAAGGATCTGTGGTTCACATTATTGTGGTACAACCTCTCTCGAGTATCTCTCAGTTTGTGATGTGTTGACGGCAGGAATACCTGTGGGTATATAGGGTTTTATACAAGACACCTACATGTATCCTGTACGACCGACAGCTTCATCACACTGGAGCAGCATTCCCCACCATTATGTGTGACCTTGAAGTGACCTTGACCCTCTATACACAGCAGCTGTTCATGTTTTTACACTCTGCATAATCATGCGACGTGTTGTTTTTAAGAGACAGAAATCATGAATACAAAATAACTGTGTCTGGTAAATTCCATATCTGTTGTCTGGCTCTTCATTGGTGGAGGTAATGTTTTCACCAACTATTAAATGGCACATTTTCGGTTACAATTTGAGTTTGGAAAGGTATATTTGTATTTTACACATGTCCATTACAATAAAAGTTTTTTTTTCTAAATTCAAACAATTTAATGATGGCTTACACCAATAATGGATCTACAAATTTCGTGTGAGGATTGAACACAGGACATTAGTGTGATGAGCAAACACTGCAACAGTGAGGCTACTTGGTCTCCTGGGCCTAGATTTTCGAAGCTCTCTTAGCGCTAAGATAGTCGTAAGTTAATGTTAATGTATGGCACTTACGACTATCTTAGCTCTAAGAGAGCTTCAAAAGTCTAGACCCGGGTTATGACCCAGCGCTCCCCATGATCTAAAGATCCTCCGAGAGGTTTCAATTCAGTGAGTTTGTTTTATACAGTTATTATACAGTTAGGTAATGATGTGAGGTGGAATGGGGTTTAACTACATTCATTCAAGATTACTACACTTACACACAGGTGTGCATGCATGTGTGTGCCTTGCTGCTTGTATTAGCGTGGACATATGCCAGCTGAGATGCCTGGTTCAGTTTCACATGGATCCCCCACTCAAACACAGTGTACTGACTGAACTTATCTTATCAATGCCAAGAGCCTGACTGGGTAACAATAAGTATCATCTTGATGTCTTTTGGTACGGCATGGCCAGAGATCAATCAACCAATCTTCAATTCTCTGGTGAGATGTTCTATTCATTGGCACTGTATTAAACAGTACAGTAAAATGCCTTTATAACGAACTCCAAGGGACCACTGAAATTAGTTTGTTATATCCGTAGTTCGCTATTCACTTTTTTATATGATAATATAAGGTTTATTCGGGACTTTTAAAACAGTTCACTATAGCCGTCAGTTCGTTATATCCGTCGTTATAAAAGTATTCTACTGTATTTCATTTCTATCACAGTACGTCTGTTTTGTGTGGGAAGAGGCTACAACAAATGTCACAGACATTGATACATCCCACACATATGGGGCTGACACATGGAATTTGATTATCCTGTCACAACTAAGGGAGGTAACTAACTGCACAGAGTAGCACTGCACTGTCATATCTCCTTTCATCAATATTCCTACATCACATTGACCTCATGCCATTGGACCAGGTAAAACAACACAGGATATTTGATTCTGTTTATTTCATGAATATCAAATAAAGACTGGCTCCTTCAATGAGATGTACAGAGAAACATGGAAGGTGCTACCTTGTTGCCATATGTCCCCCGTTAGGCACACTTTTAACCACTGATGGGGTAGTTAAAGGTTCACATATACAGTGAGAAACTTGCAATGATTATAATGTGAAATGCAGTATGGATAGTTTCGTTGAACAAACTGAAAGGACAAGATGTGAAAACTTCAGTTTCAACATGTTGATAAATCTGTCCTCGACAAACAAACGCACCATTACCTACAACTGTAGATACATGCAACCTTCCACAGGAGAAGGTATATATAATTCTCACAAGAATCTGAAAAACACCAGATTTTTTTCAACTGACTTTATCTCTCATGTGAATATAGTCATTTAAAAAACTCTGGTGTTTTCAACTTGTATTGAGAAGGATACCTGAGTCTGTCAGGCAATGGCTGAGCATAATCAAATAACCAGCATGACAAAACTATAATTTTGATGAAAAAAGGGAAGGATCTGAAGATACCATAGATGAATTCATTTCATCAACAGTGGAAAAAAGCATAATATCTTCTAAACTGTATTCACTTGTTTAAACGTATAAAAATTATTTGAAAAATCCCTTTACATGAAATAAAACCTATTTATAGCCACATCTTTTCAATATACATTTAAATCAGAAACAAATTCCCATATATTGACAAAATCAAAAGTAGTTTTCTGTGAATAGTATTTCAAATGTTAAATCTGAGGGTCAAATTAGGTTTGATTTTTCAAATGAACACAGCTGTGTGGGCAAGGACCATTACTAGCCACACCTACTGGGAACTGTACTGTCAGATCTATGTATATACACACTCTCCTATAGTCACTCATATCATCTATAATATACACTCACACGCAAATAGTTCCTACTACATACAATCACTCTAAATAGTATTACATTCCCTACAACTTACATTCACACAAACAAAGTATTTCCACAACTCTTTGAGAATATTCATTTTAAGAAAATACTACCTGGACAATTAAATACTGGCAAACAGGTGTTAAATATAACTTATTACCTTTTGATAGTTGTATGGGAAATATGACATTTGCACAAATGTCATGATCTATAAATGTCATTAATTCTAAATTAGTCTTCACTGAACATTGGCATTAACTTTGTTGATAAGATCTGCCGCAACTCATTTTTCAAAGATGAAGGACTAGATGAAAAGCAGATGAAAATCTATTAAACTTATTTTGTCAACATGATGGCTTTCTTGTGTCTGAAGTTATGAACATGGAGTCACAAATAAACGTTACAGAAACCAAATAAGAGCCTGATGTCTGTGAATGACATCATGAGGAATAGTTCATACTATTTTTGTTCACTGCCACCTCCTCAGTTCAGACGTTCACAGCGGCCCCCTACTTCCTGTCAGGGCCACCTGGTGGAGGTGCTTCACTTGTCTTGCAGCGCCCTCTCCAGCAGCTGGTTCAGCCTACCCACCATTGTCCTGGGATCATCGATCAGGCCCGCATTTATCATCGCGTTCTCATACAACTGAAAAATAAAAATATATTTACCATTAACAGAATAAATATTTTCAAAATTAAGTCACAGATTACCCTCCTTCGAACAGTATGTGTGAGTTAGTGTGGCTTCATGATGCTTAAGAACAACAAATGCAGCAATGATCACAACAGGGCATCAGGAAGAGGCATCAAGAACAGACCTCCGCTCTGATTGCTGCTTCTGACAACCAGGCTGTTCCCCTGTGTTCAGACTGGTGTAAAACATGTGAGGTTAAAGAGTTCCGATCCTAATCCTAGTCATGAAAGTAAAACTGGAGGATCTTCTGACCCTGATTCAAAGAAATGACTACAGTATATAATACAGCAGCATCTCACTCTACCCACCGTATGATCTCAACGTTACATACCATCTGACCCCACCAACATGCACCATTTGACCCAACCCACGTCGCCACCTGACCCCAATCCTACTTTTGACTCAACCCCACCCACCACCTGACCCCAAACTCCTCACAATCTGACCTCATCTTCCACCACCTGATTCAACCCCTACCGACCATAACCACCCAAAATTACTACTATCCCTTACAACAAATGACCACTGTTGATTAGAATGAATTAGACTTCAGCAACCAATGCCACAAGAGGTGGGTAATGTAATCAGGTGGGGAGCCTGTCCTACAAACTTTGCTGATGCTCATTACGTCAGTCATTGGACTGTCTAATCAAGACCCGATACTTACAGACCACCATCGTACAGCGGGGAGTGCTACAAATAAACATACTATATACTTATCCCTAAGCTTCACTACACGAGCCTATCATCCAGTCTCAATATTTCATCCAGACAAGAAACAAAAACTATGGCAGAAAAAGGGGATCACGAGAACAGATCTTAAATCTTTGTAAGATACACAACCTATCCATGATTTACATGTACCAGAATCGGGACTACGCCTATATGTCTCCAGGAGGAGAGGGTGGGGACAGAGTAGCGGACAGTGTAGATTCCACGTTGACTGCACTGTATCCCAGCAGACAGCACCGACCAGGGTTTCATCACTCATGTCTGTGACTCCCATATCTCAACAACCTGTCTTCTACTCTAATGATCTCCATATTGCTTCTCTTCACCACAAATATATTTCAGTTCCATTACATGTGTTTAACTTCTAAAATCAATACAGAATATAGTGTACACCATATATATACGCAACAGTTGAGCAGACTGGGCCGATTGCCAAATCTGTCATATGAGATAGTTTTCAGAATTGTGGCTCACGATGTTACTGGCAAAGACTATTCACATTCTGGAGCTGTACATTTTTGTTAAACCAACTGGTGATGAATGCATCTATGCATCTATGTATGTAGAATGGTGGAATATTTGCAAGGGAACAGCCAACTGATCCGTGGGTCTGTTATCACGTGGGGTCATGGAGTTAGTGGTGTATATATACTGTTATCACACTAGCTTCACGGAGGCATGCAGGTGATAGGTGGATGTGCAGCTTGTACTGTAATTCTCATGGGTTGATGGTATACTGGTATTGTAATGTGGTGTGTTGACTGGTTGACATGGCGGGCGGTGGTGCTGTAATACACAGGTATTGACATGGGATGGTGGTGTTGGTAATACTGGTATTGGTATGGGGTGTTGGTAATACTGGCATTGACATGGGATGGGTTATGGTATTGACATGGGATATTGGTAATGGGATGATGGTGTTAGTATACTTGGCATTGACATGGGTTGGTGGTGTTAGTAATAATACTGGTATTGGTATGGGATGGTGGTGTTGGTAATACTGGTATTGACATGGGATGGTGGTGTTGGTATAATACTGGTATTGACATGGGATGGTGGTGTTGGTAATACTGGTATTGACATGGGTGGATGGTGTGGTACTGGTATTGACATGGGATGGTGTGGTGTTGGTAATACATAATTGACATGGGGTGGTGGTGTTGGTAATACACCGGTACTGGCATGGTGTTAGTAATACTGATATTGTGGTGCCAGTAATAATACTGGTATTGACATGGGATGGTGGTGTTGGTAATACTGGTATTGGTATTGACATGGGTTGGTGGTGTTGGTAATACGGTATGGTATTGTTACATGGTATTGACATGGGTGGTGGTGTTGGTAATACTGGTATTGACATGGGTGGGTGGTGTTGGTAATACTGGCATTGGCATGGGTGGTGGTGTTGGTAATAACTGGTATTGACATGGATGGTGGTGTGTTGGTAATACTGGTATTGACATGGGTGGGTGGTGTTGGTAATACTGGTATTGACATGGGATGGTGGTGTTGGTAGTAATACTGGTATTGGGGATTGGCATGGGATGGTGGTGTTGGTAATACTGGTATTGACATGGGATGGTATTGTTGGTAATGGGTATTGGCATGGGTGGTGGTGTTGGTAATACTGGTATTGGCATGGGATGGTGGTGTTGGTAATACTGGTATTGACATGGGTTGGTGGTGTTGGTAATACTGGTATTGACATGGGATGGTGGTGTTGGTAATACTGGTATTGACATGGGTTGGTGGTGTTGGTAATACTGGTATTGACATGGGTGGTGGTGTTGGTAATACTGGTATTGACATGGGATGGTGGTGTTGGTAATACTGGTATTGACATGGGTGGGTGGTGTTGGTAATAATAATTGGTATTTGGTGGTGTTAGTAATACATGGGATGGTGGTGCTGGTAATACTGGTATTGACATGGGTGGTGGTGTTGGTAATACTGGTATTGACATGGGTTGGTGGTGTTGGTAATACTGGTATTGACATGGGTTGGTGGTGTTGGTAATACTGGTATTGACATGGGTGGTGGTGTTAGTAATACTGGTATTGACATGGGTTGGTGGTGTTGGTAATACTGGTATTGACATGGGTTGGTGGTGTTGGTAATACTGGTATTGACATGGGTTGGTGGTGTTGGTAATACTGGTATTGACATGGGTGGGTGGTGTTGGTAATACTGGTATTGACATGGGTTGGTGGTGTTGGTAATACTGGTATTGGACATGGGTTGGTGGTGTTGGTAATACTGGTATTGGTACACATGGGTTGACATGGTGCTGGTAATACTGGTATTGACATGGGGTTGGTGGTGTTAGTAATACTGGTATTGACATGGGATGGTGTTGGTAATACTGGTATACATGGGTGGCATTGACATGGGTGGTGTTGGTAATACTGGTATTGGCATGGGTTGGTGGTGTTGGTAATACTGGTATTGACATGGGATGGTGGTGTTGGTAATACTGGTATTGACATGGGTTGGTGGTGCCAGTAATACTGGTATTGACATGGGTTGGTGGTGCCAGTAATACTGGTATTGACATGGGTTGGTGGTGCCAGTAATACTGGTATTGACATGGGTTGGTGGTGTTGGTAATACTGGTATTGACATGGGTTGGTGGTGTTAGTAATACTGGTATTGACATGGGTTGGTGGTGTTGGTAATACTGGTATTGACATGTGTTGGTGGTGCCAGTAATACTGGTATTGACATGGGTGGTGGTGGTGGACATGGTTAGGTGGTGTTAGTAATACTGGTATTGACATGGGTTGGTGGTGTTAGTAATACTGGTATTGACATTGACATGGGGTGGTGGTGCCAGTAATACTGGTATTGACATGGGTTGGTGGTGCTGTTATTGACATGGGATGGTACTGGTATTGGTACATATTGACATGGGTTGGTGCCATTGACATAGGTGTGGTGTTAGTAATACTGGTATTGACATGGGTTGGTGGTGTTACTGAGTAATACTGGTATTGACATGGGTTGGTGGTGCCAGTAATACTGGTATTGACATGGGTTGGTGGTGTTGGTAATACTGGTATTGACATGGGTTGGTGGTGTTGGTACTGGTATAATACTGGTATTGACATGGGTTGGTGGTGTTGGTAATACTGGTATTGACATGGGATTGGTGGTGCCAGTAATACTGGTATTGACATGGGATGGTGGTGTTGGTAATACTGGTATTGACATGGGATGGTGGTGTTGGTAATACTGGTATTGGCATGGGATGGTGGTGTTGGTAATTTTGAATACTGACATGGGTGGTGGTGTTGGTAATTTTGAATACTGACATGGGTTGGTAATACTGGTAGTACTGTGAGGTCATATTTCTGTGAGATCACAGTATACCCACTGAGCAACCCATTCTACTAGATGACACAGAACCATGTTGACACAACCGATCTAGATAATAGCTAGCAGACACAAGTGCGTGAAGCCTTTACTGACAATACCTCACATGCGTGTGTACATACATACAGTGAATACTGATATGCCATTGGTTCTACCAATGTAAGCAGATTCATCCTTTACTGCAAATATACACATTACAACTGTTTATGGGAGTGTAACACAGCGAGGATGTAGTACACATGGTAAATAGCAGTAAATACAGTGGACTATATCTTCTCTTTAGTGTAACACAGAGAGCATGTAGTACACATGGTAAATAGCAGTAAATACAGTGGACTATATCTTCTGATGGCTACTAGACCCGGGTTCAAATCCCCACATGGGCACAATGTGTGAAGCCCATTTCTGATGTCCCCCGCCGTGATGTTGCTGGAATATTGCTAAAAAGCGGCGTATACGGCGTAAAACCAAACTCAGTCAGTCAGTCTGATGGCTTCTGGTCACTTGTGATTGTGAACAGAGTGAGTGAGTTGTGTTTATCACTGCCTAGAACAGAGTCACAGATATATTACCATGGGCCAGCTTGTCTTGGGAAGAAACCCCAAAGTAATTCAGGCCTTATTGACTGACAATTCCATATTTTGTATGGAGATGAGGTCAGCTGCAAAATCAAGTTTGTTTTTATTATACTATGAGATCAAATAACTTTATTTTTAAAAAAAAGCTCGCAACAATATATTTTGGGGGGCTCCCAATTACCTTTTCACTGAACTGTCAGAAACCAAAAAGAATTTTCAAGAATAGTCTATGACACACTTCTTTCCAATAAATTTCTGAGGCTCCTCATG